CATTCTATACACCAAATTCTTGGAATCATTTGATTTTTTTTTTTGTGTGGGAGCCCTCTAACCAAAAAGGCAGAGAGAGAGGTAAAGAAAACAGTGAGAGACCTGAAAAAAATTTTAGTTCTGAATGTGTACTTTGTATGTCTATGTATACACACAGCAAACTGGAAGGAAAGATAGCAACGTGTTTTCAGTAGTTGTCTTTAGGCAATATTACCGGTACAGTTCTTATTCTCTTCATAGGGTCCCAAATTTTTTAATTCTCTACAATAAACATATACTTCTTACATGATCAGAAATAAATCTCTGAGACAGACGGACAGATAGGCAGGCAGGCAGACACACATGCACACACACACCCCTAAATAGAGAGATGGATAGATCACAAGACAGACAGCTACCCGAAATCTTGGGAAAGAATCAGGGGCTGCTACATTCATCAAGCGTCCTTCCCCCCATGACATCAGATGGCAAGGAGGAAGGCAAGAAAGAAAAGTCTCAGGGTTAACTAAAGTCAGCAGGAGAGAAGATGGAAGTACATTTGTAGGATAAAAATTACGTAAGAAAAGACACATACACAAATGTGAAGGAGAGAAGGCACTTGGCATTTCTTCATTGGTTTGTCCCAGGCCATCCAAGGACACACGTCTGATCACCATTAACGGGAATGGCCCTGCGGGATGCACAGGTCACAGTTTGCATGCCAACAGGTGCTCATTGCCTCTGCATTCCAAATGGGGACTGGCTTTGGGTGGTGAGCGTGGGTAATGGGGTGGCAACTTCACATCATTTAGCTTGACCTGACAGGTGTGCTCACCAAGCCTTGCAACACATTCCGCTTCCCATGTTGCCCAGCTCGGAACAGACGCAGAGGAAATAGCAGTTCATCAGAAATTCCGAGAATTTCACAATATATAAAACAGAAAAAATCCAGAGTTCTTTTAAAAATTCCAAGGATTGGAATTATATATATTATATTAATATATATATGAGAAGCAGTAAGATTTATATTTATATTTATACTTATTTAAAAGAAGCTGTCATTTTTCTAGCCAAAAAGTGACCAATTTTTCTGCCATGTTATTTTGCCCTCAGGGTAAGGTGCTGACCACTAACCTTTCTCATGATGCAACCAAGTGACAAGGTCAGGAAGGGTCAGGACTATTTGCGGGAGATATCCCGTTCCTCCTTAGCATTACAAAGCAAACAACAACAACAAAAAACCCCTCCAAAAGCCCTCCTACTCAGTAGGAAAGAGATAGATTATTTTATTTCATTAGTAATCCTACAACAATGTGGGGTGGGGGTGACCCACGTCTAACTCCAGAATAAACTCTAGCTGGTACTGAAGTAAATACTAAAAAATGAGACCAGGAAGAAGACCCGACATGAATAGAGATGGACAGAAAACTGATGTCGGTTCTGGCGAGCCCGCCGAAGCACAGGGCAAAGGGAACCCGTGCAGGAGAGGGCTGAGGGCTTAACCACATCAACACGTAAAATTTCTGTATGTCACTCTGAACTGCCTGACAATTAGTAGCTTCAAGGAGAAAAACCACAGAGTTATCTCCATAGATGCCGAAAGGAATTTAATCGTAGAGACTTCCTTGACAAGACATACATCCTGAGGCAAAAGCCAGCGTGAGACAGAACAGTGAAACATTAGAAACATCTTCATTAATGTAAAAACCGAAATTCTCACTATTGCCATTAATTATGTAACATTCTTCTGTAGGTTTACCAGTGCAATGAGGGATAAGAGCAGATAAACTATTGGGAAAGGCAAAATACGACCTGAGGGCTGTGTGGTATCAACCAACCTAGAGAATCTATCAGAGCAGCAGTAAGGTAGTGAGTTATAAATAAAAAATCAATACCCTTCCTGTACACAAACAATCCACCATCAAAAAAGCCTTACAGAAAAAAATATTCCTTCTATAAAAGCACGAAAAGATTTTATATTGTAAAGATTAAATTCTCCCTAATACAAAGTTAGCATTCAGCATGATTTCAATAAAAATTAAAATGTGGCATGTTTAGAATTAGACAAAATGATTCTGTAATGATTCTCAAAATGATTCTCACATAAACATGTGAGAACAACAAAAAAAAACAGACAAAGAAAGAGCAATTAGATATTAGATATAAAAAAGTATAATAAAACTTGAATAATTTACATAATACCAGGCCGGGATCAATAGCAGAGGGATGTAGCAAGAACAGAGAACAGAGGATCTAGAAAGAGACCCAAATAATATGGCTATTTGGCGTGTGATAAATAATAATGGTACTTCAGATCCGTAAGGAAGAAATGCTTAGTGGCGAGATGAAAAGATATCTTTTTTGGGGAAAAATAAACTGAAACTTCTCGGCTGACTCTTTATCACACAGTCACTGCTCCAGACTGCCTGGTGGGTAGAGGTGGCATGTGACATATTGATGGCCCGTAAGACATCAGGTGGGGGGGCTCGGGGGAAGCTTTAGTTTCCTGATACAAAAAGCCCCAAGTCTTCTTCCTGGCTGGAGTGCAGAACCCACTGCATTCACCCTGAGGCCACAGGCAGGAAGCCCCCGGATGAGCTGAGCGTGGCCAGGAGAGAGGCAGGCAGGCACCCGTCTGTGAGGGGGTCACAGTGAGTCTGGACTCAGCCAAGAGGGCGGCTTTCAAGAACTGTTCTTAGATGCTCTCTTATTTTTCACCCACTTGAGTTCCAACTGCTTCTAGTGAAGAGTTTTATAATCTTGGAGAGAAAAGCACTCTCCTAAATTTATAGGAAACCCTCAGACCCATTAAATAAAATACTGATCTAACATAAAAACTTTTTAAAGCTTTGAAACAAAATAGAAATAGACTAATAGATGGAAAACAGCCTGACAACTGTCAGAGGGGAGGAGAGTTGCAGGGTTGGGTGAAAAGGTGAAGGGATTAAGCAAAAAACCGAAAGCAATGCTTTTTAAAACTTTAAAGTTATAAACAAACAAACGTGTAGCATATATACATTGAAAAGGAAAATGGTAGAATAGCAGTTACATGAGACACATAAGACTAGTTGAGGTACATAGAACTCATAGACAAAACCACATGCAATTCGATGGAAAAGCTGGCCTTTTATAACATAACCTCAGAAGTTACTCAGCATTACTCTGCTGTACTGCACCCTATTAGCTGAAGCCATCATAAATCCATCCAGACTCAACGAGAAGGGCCCAGACCCCATGTGTGAGTAAGAAAAGCATCAAGGAGCCCCAGCTGGTGTGGCTCGGTGGATTGAGTGCTGGTCTGTGAACCGAAAGGTTGCTGGTTCAATTCCCAGTGGGGGCACATGCTGGGTCTCGAGTGGCTGGGGACATGTGGGAGGCAACTGATTGATGTATCTCTCATACATCGATACTCCCCTCCCTCTCTTTCTCCTTCCCTTCCTCTCTGCCTAAAAATAAATAAATAAAAATCCTTAAAAAAAAAAGAAGGGTGTCAAAGAACTGGCAAGCATATTTTAAAATCACTACAAGCTGTAGGTTTTGAATCTAGCAATTCCCCTTCTAAAAACTTATTCTGCAGAAGCAAGCAAAGTTTTGTATAAAAGATACATGTAAAGAATCCTCATGTTAATTTCATTTTTAACGAGGGTTCTCAAAATGTCAGCAAGCCTCAGATCTGCCCGGAGGCCTTATTCAAACAAAAGTTGCTGGGTCCACTCGGAGTTTCCTTTTTGAGAGGCCCTGAGGGGAGGGGCTGGAGAATCTGCACGTTTAAAAAGTTTCTAGGTGATGCTGCTTATGTTGCTCTGAGGGTCAGACTTCGACAGTCTGAGATGTATACCATTGCTATCTCAAATGCTGTTACTGTACTTGTTTTTCCATGTCATGAGGAAAATTTGATCCAAATATACCACAATGGAACAGGGAGAAATCCCGGGCCTTGTTACAACCTGGCAAAGATATTCTTAGTCACATTTTTGGTGGGGGAAAACTCTTTGGGCAACTAAACCGTAAATTCTGCTCTTGTAACCTCTGCCCACAATTGCTCAGTAGGATTAACGTGGCACTTGACACAGCAGGGTGGAAGGGAACCTTACAATTACTCTGTACCCTCAAGCAGAGGTATTCCTGGCCAATGTCACTGCCTTGTCCCCTTTCCTGTGCACCCCAGGCTCTGTCACAGCCTGGAACCTTTCACTAACTTAACAGGTGGGCAATACTAAAAGTAGCAAAGCGGTAACTTTTCTAGGCTGCTAGCCATTTTTATACTCGGAAGCCTGAATTTTCCTTAAATTGGCTTCCTGCTTTCAATTGGGAGGCGTTTCTTGTTTTGTTATAATACTTGATCTTTACTGCTGATGTTATTGGTTCTATTGTGTGTCTATAAGCTACACTGGGGCATAGAGCAGGCTGTGGGGGAGAACCTGGGGTTAAGCCTCAGATCATCTGAGCAACACACCTAAGTTGCGTGCCCGACACAATTCACGTCCTTAGTTCAACCCTCTCCTATTGCTCCCGTAACGATGTGCAGCGCCCCTCCCTCACTCCAGTTCCCTTTCCCAGCCGGATCCACCGAGTTCTCCAACAGGAACTCTGTGTTCCAGTCACCTGGAGCTGCCTTGGGTTTCTCCTAATGTGTACTGTGCAGTCCACCCTCACTCTTATATGAACGCTATTTCCTCTCCCTCAACGTTCTTCCCCACCCCACCCCTTCCCAGTGCATTACAATTCACACTCGACACCGGACACATTGTTTCCTTCCTGGAGGACGCTGAGCTCCTCTGTAACCCCATGGCACTGTTTACATTGGTCCTGAACTACCATTATTGGCGAGGGCTTTTATCTCCTAGAACTCCACACCTGGGCATGTAGAAATGCACGTCCTTTCACAGTGAATGACTGGATGTCTTCACAAAACGAATGTCCGAAATTCAAACTCATGATATACATCCCAAAACAGAACCATGTCAGACTTCCCACAGCAGGCTTTAAACAACACACAGAAAAAGGGGAATGCTCCTTACTTTCAGCTGTCGTCGCACCCTGGCCAGAAAGAATTGCCAACAGTTTTCTCTGGAGTCCACCAGGCCCAGAGCACGCACTTCATTACGAATTCCAGAAATAATCTTGTCCACATCTTCATCGCTGAAGAGATCTGGGATGTCGCCTGCCCCTGAAGGAAGGAGTAGCATTACCGAAAGACCGTCACAGTTCAAATTTTAGATGTGAGTTGTTAATGCTTGAAATGCTTTACAGTACAAAGGTCAGCTTAAATAACAAAGGAAGACTTTGAAGTCAGAAATGCCATTTTTCTTTTCTTCTTTTTTTTCCCCCCGCATTTACAAGACACGTGACACACTAAACTGGTCCACGTAGAAATAACATCTACTCCATCGAAGGTCCCTACAAGGTGCCTCACATCTGTAAGCACACCAAAAAAGCAACACACCTCAAATTAGGTAGGTTTATAGGTTTCTCCCCAAAGACTGCCCCAGCAAACATCTCGAAGACAAATTGTCTCTCTTTAAAGTTCACCGAGACTACAGATAATTTGTCACTGGGGGAGATCTTTCAAGAAGTGCGTTGGTTTAATCACCTGATGCCAGCAAGTCATTAATCAGCACGAGGAAGCTCTCATCTAGAACCTGGGCATCTGTCAGCAGGAACACAGTGGGCATGTTCTTGGCTCCGGCTCTGATGTACAGATTGGCAAGATCTCCCTGCGAGGAAAGGGAGCCATCACTCATGTTTTGTTAAAATGCTGATGCGACGTCGGGAGGACACGCGTGAGGACAGGGGAGAGCTGAGTGACTGTCACGTGAGTGCCGCCCGGAGTCCGCTCCGTCTGCTGACCTGTTCTTTCCTCCCCGGGACCCTGTCACGGGGGCACACGGCAGGACATCACCTCCGTTTCTGGTGGACGAGGGTCGTGTCTGTGGTGTAATGGGGCAAAGGGGTGAAGACAGGCTGCTGCTGACCGGCGCCCTTCCGCTGGAGCGGAAACGATTCGGGGGACGCCTTCGTCAAGCAACGCCGCGAAAGGAAGTTTCTGCTCACTTTGACGACTATTTCATTGAAAACACTTTTTGTTGGCTATGTATTTAGTTTTGCTCAGTAATACTGAAAGCATGGGCTTTTGGGGGTGGGGTGGGTAAAACAGCGTTTGCCACAAACTCTAAGTACTATTTTGTAAGTATGGCTCGTGTTAAAAACATGTGTTTCTTGAATGTCTCTCCAGTGCATTTTATGGTCATAACCTTATCCAGAGTGGAAGGAATCTATTTGCACTTGTAAAGATGGCATTTCTTCTCCATCATACAGGAACATGAAGAGTGTTGACTGTCAGGTGTGGTCAATGCAAAGGAAGCAAGTACTTAATACAATGTTTTCTGAGCTGGGTCTATAGGCTTTAATACCTATAAACATGTATAGAAATTTACTATGACTAATACAACCTCGAAAGAGAGACAACCAAAGGTAATTAAATCCTCTAAAGAGCTTTCCCTTCCTCCCACGGTTGGGGAGGCCTTGGCCAAATCTGGGAGTCAGAGCTGACATGGGCACCTCCACTTATGCTTCCTTCTCCCGGCGAGAGGAGGGGGGCCCATCGCTCTCACTCACCCGAAGTTCTTGGATCCCGAAGCCTTGGGTCAGAGTGGTCTGGAAGACGTCCAGGCCGCAGATGTGGGCTGCCAGCCGGGACAAGCTCTGCTTGCCGCTGCCGCCCACTCCGATCAGCAGGGCATAGCCCTGAGGGGTCCGGAGGATTCGGCTGATGCGACACCTGGTGAGAGAAAGTGCACCCACGGCAGCGTGAAACCTGGGACTATGGCTGTTCTATTTTTATTTTTTTAAAGTCCTCACCTGAGGATTGATTCTAGAGAGAAAGGGAGGCAAGAGAGAGAGAGAGAGAAACATCGAAGTGAGAGAGAAACATCAATTGGCTGACTCTTGAATGAGTCCTGACTAGGGATCAAACCCACAACCTAGGTTTGTGCCCTGACCAGGGATAGAACCCACAACCTTTTGGTGTACAAGACAACACTCAACCACCTGAGCCACCCAGCCAGGACTGGCTGATTTTTTTAGGTAAATATTTGAACGCTAAATTCCAATTTTTATTTTAAACCTTTCGTTCCTGTTCCTCTGTTTCTCCATCAGAGATGCTCCCTGCATCCGCCCTTGCAATGTTTGCCTAACACACTGTCCCTGCTAATGACGTCTTGGCCTCTCTTCTTGCTCTATTGCACTCCACCGAACTCAAGGAAGAAAACGTGTACGAGTCTTTTATCAAGGCTTCAGATTTGTTTGATTAGCAGCTAAGGTCCCAAACTTCACGTCAGCTTCCAGGTACGGCAATGCTCAAGGGAGAAGGTCTTCGGGCCAGAGACCTGTGCTATAGAAATAATTTGGAGCGAACGCGTTTGTTTGGACCAGCAGACATCACACATGTGATCTACTTCATGCCAATTAAACAAGCGCCTCTTCATATGGTTCTTACTTGCTTTGCACTGAAGCTCTCTCTGAGCTGCAAGCACTCTGGAAAATGCACTAAAATCATTCAGAATCGCAGAGTTAGATTTCCAGCAAGGCCAGCGAATCCCTTGTTCTATATTATCAAAGAGATCCTGCACGCTTAAGCTGTTGATGTTGCTTATACATTTTAAAACAGGAATAAATTGGCTTTAACACGGTCAAAATATGGGTCTGGTGGAAGAAAGATGTTATAATTATGTTGTGAATACTAAGAACGGCAACAAAACAAAATATAAACATATGGATATCCAAATGCAAAAACACCGGACACCATGCTGTTGTCTCTAGGTTGCTTTTGTGAAAGGAATGGAAACTTCAGGACCTAAATGATCCACATACATGGTTTTTTAAAGAGCGCTTTCTGAAAAAAATGAAGTCAGGTTGGGGTCACTTCTGCTGGGACCAGGACCTGTGAGCATTTTCTGAAAACCTTCGGTTACCTTCGGTAACTGAAAAGATAGGTTATTTTTACAAGCTCAGCCATCCCCTTGCATTTCATCTGACGTGAGCACACAACGAAACCACCTTGGGAAAGCCATCAATGACCCACACACGAGTGAACCCCCACATTACAAAGCAGGGTTCTCATTCCCTGTTAATGTGAGCTGTGAGGTTTGCACCATAGAGACAAGAGTCTCTACGTAGCAGAGTCCCTTTCTACGACACCCAGGGACAGGCTCTGAAGTCATCTTCTAGCTCAGAATCCCTGATCAAAGAAACAGCCTTCCTTCTCAGGCCGCTGAGAACTCCGCGTTGGAGGATTACCGGGGCAGACTCCCATGGCGGCCACCGGAGGCCTCTCTCACCCGAGCCTCTCAGCGTCCAGACACGGTCTGTGCAGACTAACCCCACGAGAAACAGACTCTCTAGTAACCCGTTTACCCCTCAGTCATAGATTCTAACTAAAACTGTGTCATCGGAGGGTTACAACGGCAAAGGAATCAATAAAACAATCAATATTTAGCATGCTTCTAATAACTGATGATGGGGAGGCCTCCAAAGTTTTTCTTAGGCTCTTTGCCTAAACATTTTAAAGAGTAACGCTTTAAAAAATTGAATGCCCCCATTTTTTTTTCTGTTTGGATTTCCTTCCTTGCCCACTTCTTTCTGGGCTTATTTTTAATCACCATTTCATTATTTTAATCTTTACCCAAGTACCACTTACTAAAAGGGCCAGAGTTTTTAATTACACCCCCTGAAATTCATATATTAAAGTCATAGCCCCCAGTACCTCAGAACATCAGCTTATATGGAAATAGGGTCACTGCAGAAGTGACTGGTTGAGACAATACCATTCCAGAGTAGGGCCCCTATCCAATACAGCTGGGGTCCTTATAAAAGGGAGAAATTTGGACACAGACATGCAGAGGGACAAAGAATGCCCTGTGAGGACTGGAGTGGAGCTGCAACAAGGAACCGCCAGGAACTTGGCGAGAGTTCTGGCTCTTCTGACACACCTTGACTTCAGACTTCTGGCCTCCAGAGCTGTGAGATTATAAACATCTGCTTTTCTGTGACAGCAGCTCCAGCGAACGGACACAGCCAGCAAGGCATGACGGTGACCAGGGGACAGTACTGGCCATAAAGGTGCCATCGATGGAACCCCTTGCAGCAGCAGCAGCAGCAGCCAGACGAGCTGTCAGAATATTCCACGAAGCACGTCGCTGCCGGGCCAAAGTGTGCCCGAAATCTTCTCGCTGAACTGAAAACTGAACCTCCTTCCTCTGGTTACAAGGAAGTGCTCCCTGCAAGCACGGCCCCTTCCTGCCACCCGTCCGGGGCACACACACACACTCTGCCCTGCTCGCCTCCGCACGCTGCGGCTGTGAGGACCCCCTTCCTGTCCCTGAACTCGGCCTCAGGGCCACCAGCAACCTGCCCTCACCTAGACCGTTCTTCCTCCAGATCTGTCCGTGCCTAGCTCCTCCTGCTTACCGTTTCCATCTCACCGTGGACGTGAGCTCCTCACGTAGATACCTGGTTCCTCATCAGGAAACCACGTATTTTATTCCCAGGAATAAACCTCTCTTAGTTCTCAGTGTGACACATCACCTTCTGACCTTTTTCTGCTTATTTGTTCATGTCCTTAAACATGTCCGTAAGAATCACCAAAATGCCAGCTCCACTAGAGAAGGGACTGGCTGTTTGCTGCTCCACCCGCAGCACCTACAATGATATCGGACGCAGGGGCCCTACAGACGGTGGCGTGACCAGCGCCCTGCGCGAGGTGCCCAGTGTGGGAGGTGAGTGAGAGCCGTGCCAGCAGCTCTGCACCGGGACTCGGGCCTTTTCCTCACTGTCTGCCAAGCAACGGGCCCTCCCCGCTTTTTTCCTGATTTGCACAAAGCACTGAACAGTCTGGCAGTGTTCCTGTTCAGCACTCAGTAGGCACTCGCCAAACACGCTTAATCAGTGAAAATCAGTTTAAGTCCGTGCTGTCTCTGCCACTTAGGGGCCTGATGACTTTGAATGAGTCGCTTGTCTCCTTGTTTCTTGGTGTTTTACCTAACAGGGCTGCAGTGACATAAAATGGGAGTTACGGCTATGATGACACTTCGGCTAAGAAGTGCACCTGTGTAAGACATTATTTCAATTGTGACAGTTTATAGAGACACTGTACTTTTACACTGGATGGCAAACAATAGGTAAGAACTGGGAGTTCAGAAGGCTGAATACGACCCACTGAAAAACGGCAGCTGTGGACACCCAGCCATTTTTACTTCGTAAGAACAGTATCACAACCAGTTAACTCACACGTGCTGCATGGCGTCTTCAAACAGAACGAGGTGCATGGCAGCGTTCAGCTCGTTGTAGCTGTCTAACGCCTCTGTAAGAATCGTCTTCAGCACCTCCCAGTCCTTCACTGGCATGTAACGTGGCTCGTCCCCACCAGTAGCGAGGTGGCAATAGAGGAGGGGCTGTTGAAGCAGAACACGACTGTCTGCCCCCTGCAGAAGGAGGAAGAGAAAAGTGTGGCCACGCCAACCAGCCGGCATGATTCATCTAGCGGCATGGTGGCCTACCAAAGGAAAAACTTGCCGATCAATCCATGGATGGCGTGTCCCCAGTGACAGAGCAGTTACATTCCGGAATGATAGCTGCTGGAGCTGGGCAAGCATTTACACGACTTATTCCCATCCATACCTAACTTCCCGTCCAAGCCACCACCAGTTAGTGCCAGAGCGAACAGTGACCTCTCACTTCCTCACACTTACTTCAAAATGTTTATGTGCAGTTTCCAGCATTTTTCTCTGAAACAAATCACCATCTTTGGTGTCTATCAGTTTGTCTCCATAGACACGAGACGATTCATGAAGCCACAGGTGTATTAAATCATCTGAGCCCTTTAAACATTCAGGAGAAGCAAATAAAATCCCCTATAAGGCAAGAATGGGAAAAATTAAAAATTCAGAAGGTGATGATATTCCAAGGTAATATTTTCTTCTAACATTTTCTTTAACTGTATACTGAATTTAGCAATTGATTGAGTTAAAAGAATCATTATAAATAATAGTGCATATATTAGTTTTACTGTCTAATAAAGCAACATTTTGAAAATCTGCTATCATTATACTCATTGTTAGTAAAGCAGCTAAGATTGTATTATAAGAACCAGTCCAAAACCTAAATACTGCATGGGAGAACTTGTGCCAGTTAAGTCGTCCAGTAGATTAAGTTTTCAAAATCATAGAATAAACGGGTAACATAAAAGTTACATGATCATAATTCTTTTATTCTAACATCTTTCTTAAAAGATTTTGTTTATTTACTTTTAAAGAGAAGGGAAGGGAGGAAGAAAGAGAGGGAGAGACACATCACTGTGCGAGGGATATGTGGGCTGCCTCATGCCCTGGCTGGGAATAGAACCTGCAGTCTTTCAGTTCGCAGGCCAGGGCTCAATCCACTGAGCCATAGTCGCCAGGGCTCTTTTGATATTAGTTCATCTAACCCTTTCATTTCACAGACGAAGAATCTGAGACCAAAGTAAATTGCCTGAATTCACACTCTGTGGGCAGCAACACCAAAGCACGTTGATTCTCGCCCTTCCTCCACATTGCCCTTCAGTGTCGGGGACTCACACAGACCCCACCCTCACAGAGAGGGTCAGCGTGCCTTGGGCTCACAGGATAGTGCACACCAAGAGCTGCTGTAGAGAATCGGCTGTAAAAGGCTGAACAGGCACTTGGGAATGTCAGGGGCAGCTGCCAGAATGGATATGAATGGAGAGCAGGCAAGCTTCTCATCCCATGTCAGCTATGGCTCCCTTCCCTTTTCTTGCAAGATTAAAATTCTGCTTTTAAACAACAGGCAGGTGCTCAATAAATAAAAGATTAAAAGGGATGGTCCACATTCTTAGGAAGCTGTTGTCTAATGCAGTGCTACAATTCTGAGACAGCTGTGGAGTGATTTAGGAGCGTGGGTTAAAAAACAGGCCTGACTGATGTGGCTCAGTTGTTTGGGTGTTATCCTGCAAAGCAAATGGTTGCCGGTTCAATTCCCAGTCAGGGCACGTGCCTGGGATGAGGGTTCGATCCCTGGTTGGGGCGTGTACAGTAGGCAACTGATGTGACGTGAGAAATACTCTCCCGCGTCAGTGTTTCTCTCCCTCTCTTTCTACCTACCTTCCCCTCTCTATAAAAGTTAGTAAAATCTTAAATATATATATATAAACAAAAATCACTAAGTACAAAGAAAGAAATCCCACAAAGTTTTTATATCTAACCAGTTTACCGCCTCTCTCACAAAAGAACTCTGCACCACACGTAATGTCCCCACCACATTTACTGTACGGGAGAGACAACATTAATTGGATTTTTAAATAATCCCAGGCTTTCAACTGCCTCTCTGGAATTTTCCTTCTAAATCAAACACATAAACACTGTCCTTTTACCAGGTAAGCAAAGTGTCAATGTCAAAGCAAAACAGCAATTTAAGAAACTGTAATTTCCCTTGATGTATGTTTAAAAATCATATCCGATATAAAAAAATGACAAATTACCCCTCTTATTTGGCACAAAACGAAGCAGTGAAATATTTCTACGGAATAAATGAAATCAGGAGTGCAGCCTTCTGCCCTTGCTTCTGCTGCTAAGTCTCTATACAGCCCGAGAGGGACAACCACGCCCACTGATACAAGGGAGTAACAAACCTGGCACACTTACTTCCCAGAAATGCGTGTGGTGTAAAATGAAAGCATATGTACACAGTTCACAGCAGAGTTCCTAACTAGATTCTGTGACCGAACTCCGTTAATATTCCTGGAGCCCTTCCTCCACCCCAGACGCGTGACGGAGAGCCATCGAGGTACCTGGAAGACGTTCGAGAGGTCTCTCAGATTGAAGAGGTAGTGGAATCTAACGGCCGTGGGTGCAAAGTGGCGGGCCATCACCTGGTGGACCGCGACCGCTGCCTGCACCAGGGCGGGGCCGCTCCTGAGCACCGAGGGGCCAAAGGCGTGCTGCCGGAAATGGGAACCGAGGATACGGCTGTAGATGGTGCTCAGAGCATCCAAGGACGGAAAGTTGAATGCAAACACTGTGAAATGTCTCTGAAAAGAAAAACACATATGAGAATTACCAAAAAATGGAGATGATAATGGAACCAGGAGATTTTTTTAAAGCTTTATTTTTGTCATTCCTTTCTGTATCCCTGCCCATTGCCATTTAACTTCGGAGTGCCATCCACTCTGACTCGGGGCCTGGGTGTGTGACTCCACTGGGGCAGCAGAATGGCGTGTGACAGTCACCATCAGAGGCCTGCGTGTCCCCACATGTGCTCTTAAGGAGCCCCTCTGCCATACATTCCACCAGCTGCTACTGGATGACAGAGCCGTGGAGCAGAGCCACACTGCCCCGATAACTCCAGCCAGAGTCCCCCTAGATTAGCGGACATGGCGTAACCCCCAGGCATGTGAACGAGCCCGGCCAGGATCACCCGTCACCTGGGCAACCCCCAGCTGACTCCAGGTGAGTGAGGAAGCGACACTTCCTGTTGCATGCTGCTGTTATACGGATGTCATTGATGGTACTGAGTATGATTAAAAAGCCCATGTGCACACAGAAACATGTGCATAAATATTTGTAGCAGGATATCCATAATCGCTAAAGTGTGGAAACAACCAAGGCACCCTTCCATAGGTGGCTGGATAAACAAACTGGGCACATCCCTACAATGATTAGGATTCATTAGCTTACCCTTAAAGAGAGAATGAGCTATCAAACCATGAAAAGACATGGAGGAACCTCACGTACGTACTTAAGCTAAGTGAAAGAAGCCAATCGGACAAGCCTATGTACTGTGTGATCCCAACTATATGACATTCTGGAAAAGGCTGAACTATGGGAACAATAACAGAATCGACAGGTTGCCAGGGACTCAGAGGATAAATAGGAGGAACACAGGGAATTTTTTGGGCAGTGAAACCACTCTGTATACTTTAATGGTGGACACCTGTCATTGTTCATTCTTCAAACCACATGGAATGTACAGCACAAAGAATGAACCCTGATGTAAACTCTGGGCTTCAGTTAATGACAACTTACCAGTGCTGGCTCGTCAGCTGGAACGAACGCAGCACACTCATGCAGCATGTTTGCAGCAGGGCAAAACGAGGCCAGGAGGGCGAGGGAGTGCATGGGAAATCTGTGCTTTCAGTTAAGCTGCTGAGACAGTTTGCAAACCTAAGACTGCCCTGAAAAATAAACCCTTTTCATTTTAGAAAGCTTAACAATTAACCAAATGTCCAATAGCAGCCCTGACTTGTACTCAAAAGCACCAAGATCAAGACCTGCAATGCTTGAGGATTACATGTAGGGGATATTTGAAGAGAGCGGGACCCGGCACCCCACCTGAAGTCTGGGGTTGATGGTGAAACTGCCCACCATCGGGTTCATGCAGGCCACGTACTGGCAGTTGTGGATTTCTTTAAGCATCACCTTCTGTCTGTCATACCTGAAAGGTAGAAAACAGAACCTCACATCTCAAAGCTGAAGATGACAGCCCAACCAAATCCACCCGTTCATAAAGGACTCCATCACCAGCTGTCTCCTTTGGTCTTTACAACTGCTCTGTGATGCTGAGCTCATTTGCATGGTCTCAGAGACAGGAAAACAAAAGCTCAGAGAACTGAAGTCTACAGAGCTCCTTTAATGCCAGAATCCACATACAGAGCCGAATCAATACATGCGGTTACTGCTCATTGATTCCCATGTGACTCTCTTTCTGGTTAGAAGGACCCACAACAGCCCTGGCCAGGGTAGCTAGTTGGTTGGAGTGTCATCCTGTGAACTGAAAGGTCTCAGGTTCAATTGCTGGTCATGGCACATGCCTGGGTTGCGGGTCTGGTCCCCTAGTTGATGTGTGTATGAGAGGCAACTGGCCAATGTTTCTTTCCCTCTCGTTCTCCTCCTATTTCTCCTTGGGGGAAAAATAAAGAAAAGAAATGACTGCCACATGGCTGGGGGCTCTCCTCCAGCTAACAGCAGGGTCGCAGACAGCAGCAGCCAGATAGGACCAAATGGTGACGTCCCACAGGACAAGGTCAAGCTTGTCTAAGGAATTCAGTGTGAGCTAAGGTTGAAGAATTCGATGCTTAAGCCAGACAGTTTATATTCCCAGACTACTTCTTAATCCAACTCTTGTCGAGGTACTAAGGGAATCTATTCGATTGGAGATGTTGAAAAGAAGATAGATGCAAAGTGAAACCCAAAAGGTACCCCAGAAAATGCTCTTGCTCAGAAGAGGAAGAAATTAGGATAATTGCACTTGCGAATGTTTATCCCTAACGACAATCATTAGATTTCAGAAAAAATTAAAATACAGAGAATTATTCACCAGTGTCCGTAATCAATGTGCTGCCGAATCAGGGTGTGGGGCTGGACAGTGCCGTAGAAGTCCACTTCGGGCATGTTCATGTCGTCAATGAAGTAAACCAACTTTTTGTTTCCTCCCGGGCCGTAATTGCGACCAGCTTTTTTCTCTAGAGGTTTCTCAAGAATTCCTGAAGCAAATATAAAATTCTGTCCAATCAGATAAAATGTAACTTTCTGTCCTTAGTCCTTGTTTCTTATTTTCTCCTCATCTTCTGTCCATTTCACCCACTCTGTTGCTTCAAGGTCACCTCTCTGCAGGTTAATACCAGAGCTGTGTCACTGGTCACTTCCTGTAAGTGGGTCTTCACGCCCCTCCCTTTTGGCCTGCCCATCTACCACTCCAGTCCAGACTGACGTGACCACTCAGGGGAGTGGTCTGCCTGCCTGAGGCTTCTTCCCCCAAAGGGGAGCTTGCACCTTATCATTTCCTTGCCCCCCACCCATGCCTCACCATCTCCTACCAAATGATACACATTTTCTTCAGCTGTATCTCAGTTCTCTCTACAGGTACAATGTCCAGCCATCCCAGGTTATCTGGAACTATTGCAGTTTTAGCACTAAAAAGTCCCAAGTCCCAGAAAACCCATCAGTGTTGGCCAACATGGACAGCTGGGCACTCCGCGATGCACCTCCAACCCATCATGCCCACCTTCCCCTGTCTTCTGCCCTATCACTGTGGTTCAGTCACCTTAGACATTCAATTAACTGACTGTGTCCCAATTTTCTCTCATGAGTTGGCTCAAGCCAATCCTTCTATCCCAAGTGCATTTTTGCCTGCATACCACCCCATCTCAAGGGTCTGACATCTTAACTGTCCTCACAAAAGAAAGGCTCCTTCTTGTCCTCATGCTAATAGGTGATCTTTAAATCTTATTCACGCCTGTATCCCTTTCAGAAGCTAGCAAGATGAACTCATACTGCAGTTAAGTACTTTGTTCAACTATTGCGTCGTAGCCCTAATCTGCCACGTATGAGTAATAAAGTGACCCATTCCTCTGTGTCTGTGAATGAAAAACACATACCAGACACAGTGCTTGGGGGAAAGTAGACATATAATGTATATTGGCCGAATAACATACTGCTGAGTCAGCTTTTTAACTGTTTCATTCACAGACACCAGGAAAACAAACTTGATTAAAAAGGAGATTGCAGAAAAATCACTCTTGGCTGAGTTAACGATATCAGTAAGAAGATGTATTATTACTACTCTACTGATATTATCTAAGAAAACAGCAACAACACACACTCATGCACACTCACAACACAGAAGCCACATTCAGGGTGACTCGGCAGGTTTGATGAACTCCTGAACAATGCTGCCCCCCACCCCACCCCCAGTATAACCCCATTACCCTGCTGGACCACGTGGCAGACTTGCCAACATCACCCTTTTATAATACTTCACCTCTACTTCCAAAGTCCACTTTGCTTGTCTTTCCTAACTTAGAACATCCCAAATCTGTGTGATTCTTTTATCATATTGATACGATTATTCAACAATGTAAAATCCTTCTTAGAGTTCTAGGACTTAATGAACAGCTCATGGCCCACCATTTCATCAGCACAGTTTGAATGAATTTCTCCTGGATTGGTCCCTTACTGGAAGGGGTAACAGAGGGTCTTCCCTTGAGTGCACCCTCACGATGCTCAGGCTCCGTAAAACTGACTAAGGAAAACCCACCAGTTTAGAGGTGAAGCAGTGAACACGACTGATGTAAACTCTTGCAGTTCTAAAGAGTAATAACCCAAATAAAGCCATGAATGATATCAAAAGCCCCAAATTACAACATCTGAACAAAGTATATTTACCCAGAATGGTGATAAGTAAAAAATCATCTGAGGCCTAAGAAAATGTCTAAAGCCTCGACAAAGTCATCATCTCTTTGGGTTGCATGTTGCAGCCTTGACAGTTTCTGATCTTTTAAAAAAAAATAGGACTTGAGAGAGAGAGAGATTTGTTGTTCCACTTATTTATGCATTCATTGATTGATTCCTGTATGTGCTCTGACCAGGGATCAAACCTGCAAACTTGGTATATCAGGACGATGCTCCAACCAGCTAACCACCTGGCCAGAGCAACAGTTTCTGGCCTCTCGTCTCTGGAAGGTAAACAGGAGGAGCACTTACTTTGCAGAGCTGCAGACGTTGTGTAGTAGTTGAAAGGCACGCAGGACACTATGTAATCCTCAGAGAGACTGGCCAGTGTGTCCCTGACAAAGACTGTTTTTCCCACTCCGGCCTGTCCTACCAGCATTAGTGGCTGTCCCTTCTCAAGCAACAACTGTGTGAAATATCTAAGACGAGTTGTCTCTGATGTGTGAACCAGAACTCTCTGGAGGAAAGAGACAGAATGAGAGAAAGGTCAGAGAGACACAGTCTGAAATTTTCCATCTGAACACAATCACTTTAGAATTGAGCCTCAACGAATTCTTAGTGCAAGTTGACACCGGCAGGGAGATCCCGCCTGATTTTCTGTTTTGAATGGTCCGAGTTCAGGCACCACTGCCTGAGAGAGCAGTGGGGAAGTGCCATTGACCTCCTGTAGCATCAGCAACGGACTTACAGTTTCCAGTTCAAGTAGCAGCACCCCCGGCTCCCTGCTGTAGAACACCTCCACTCTGCCCGACCTTGTGTCAGACATATAACAGAAACAGCAAGCATTTGAGAAGCAGTCGACCATCTTTTGCTTGCTGACAAAACGTTTGAAAAGTCAAGCCATACATACATGGAAGTAGGCAGCAATGCTTTGGCCCCTTGAGATTAAGTGGCAAAACGATTAAGCACCATCCACATGCAAGGAGTTCAGTGTAGAGGGGAGACGGTTTGAGGGAAATAGTGGCTTTCAGTGGAATATTCACAAGTCCAGAGCACATTTGAAACTCATTATGCATTGTTTTGTTAAACATTTTATAACAGTGTTTCTGCTTTGAAAATGGGCTATTCATTTAGCTATGACATTGTTTCACAAAGAATTTGAGGTGACTTATGGAATACAATAAGTGAAAGCATACACATTAATAATAATCAGACTCAGGGAACAAACTAATACACAAAATCAGGAAAAGGAGCGGCAGCTGTAGACATGCAGGGAATGGAATCTTACGGAGTGATTAAAAGAGAGCTGACCATTTCTTGTATTTCTTGATGACCAAATAAAAGGGGGTAAAACACTACATGCAGGATTCGTATTATTCATAAGCAAAACACAAACTCTCTAGTGGAGAAAGTTCTCTCTGCATGGCCTGAATGCAATGAAGGGCTTCACAGCTCACAGAGGGTCATGGTCACCACGGTGAACATTTGCTCCAGAACTTGGTTTCCATTCAGTGACACTCTCAGGACCTATTGAGAGGTGCACACGGCTCTGTGCCACATTACTTTTTTTAATTGAGTTTATTGGGGTTAATAAACTCAATTTTAAACTCAATTTTTTAATTAAGTTCATTGGTTAATAAAACCACATAGGTTTCCGGTGTACAACTCTGAACACATCATCTGCACACTGCATTGTGTGCTCGTCTCCACCGAAGTCAAGTCTCCTTCCGCCACCATTTATCCCCCCTCCCCCTCCCCTTTCACTCTGGTATCACCATGCTGTTGTTGGTGTCTGCTTTTTCCCCTTAACCCGTTCACTTTTTTACCCATCCTCCTAATCCCCCTCCTCCCCAACAGCTGCCAGTCTGTTCTCTGCATCTACGTGTCTGTTTTTATTTTGTTAGTTTATTGTGTTCATTGGATTCCACGTAAAAGTGAAATCATATGGTATTTGTTTTTCTCTGACTTGTCCTAGATGACATTTTTTATTATTTGCATTGCAATGATATTTTTTTCTCCTTTCTTGCTGCTCATTGTTATCATTTGCTGCTTAATTTGGCTATTGCCTCTTTTCTCTACACATTAACACCAATCATTAACTTTTACTGAAAGCTGAGTACTTGACAGGGACTATGCTAAGCACTTTATATGCATTATGTCATATGATGTTCATAACAAATCTATGGAGGAGAGTTTTATCATTTCATTTGCAGAGTTGATGAAACGGCAGCCTTCAGAACTTGCGATATGATTTCTGATGCGTACGTAAGCCACACTGTCGGGGGTATTTTGTTATGGCAGTGACAGAAAACTAATACAAATAAAGTTAAGCCCCTAATCCAATAGGACTCAGTGTTTTTATAAAAAGGGGATTTCGAGTACGGGACACAAACACAGAGAAAGTGACATGTGACCATTGGGGGGGGGGACGCTGCCACAGACAGGGGGACAAACCCCAGGAGCCAGGAGCCAGGCCTGAGGCAGGTTCTCCCTCACAGCCCTCCGAAGGGACGGGGCTGCCGACTCCTTGAGTCTGAAGTTTCTGTTGTTTAAGCCGCCTGGTTTGGGGTGCGTTGTGACCGCAGCTCCAGGAAACTTACACATTGGGTTTCTCCTTTGACAGTAGCTGCCTCCTAATGATGCCATAAAAGTCACCCATATCCTATTCATACAGTACTACTTGAAATAATGAGCTGCAAAATAAATTAGAATGACATGATTCTGAGAAAGAAATATAATAAAAAGGAAAATAGCCCTGAGCAGGTGGCTCGGTTGGTTGGAGCATCCTGTGCAACAAAAGGTTGTGGGTTCCATCTCTGGTCGGGGCGCATACAGGAGGCAATCCATTAGTGTTTCTCTCTCCTCCCCTCCCCCCTCCCCTCCCCCTCCCCTCCCCCTCCCCTCCCCCTCCCCCTCTCCCTCCCCCTCTCCCCTCTCCCCCTCCCCCTCCCCTCCCCTCCCCTCCCCTCCTCTCCTCTCCTCTCCCTCCCCTCCCCTTCCCCTCTGTCTAAACTCAATAAACATATCCCCTCGGGTAAGGATTTTTTAAAAAGAAGGAAAATAGATTGAGGTAGAATTCAAATTCAAATAAAAAGTAACTCGACATAGGAGAAATGTGGAAGAGCAATCTACGAAGAGAAACAATAAAAAAGAGGAAGTTCCATTTAGATTTGTCTGCTGCTGTGTGAATCTGAAACACGAGTTGAGGAGGTTAAGCATATTCATTTTATGACTCAGTGGGGGTGGTTAAAGAAAAGAAATTATATATCAAAGTGCTAAGAATTTTAGTACAAGGAAATAAGGATTTCCTTGTACTAAATAAGTACAGAAATAAGTACAGAAACAACAATCCACTGAACTACAGAAATATGCCTCCAACTTTTAGTGAAACTCACAAAGTTTCTAGGGAAATATAAAGAAAGTGGTTAGCACAGAAATAAGTTGAAATTTTAAAAGAGGCTGCAGCAACACAATGGCCACTTCGCTAACTGTCCCTTCAGCTGACAGTCTTCCCTCTCAGGAAACACGTAGGTGCCGACCGCCTCAAGGATACCTTCCCGTCAGGCAGGGGAAAGGCTGCTAGAGGACAAAAGGAGCTCGAAGCAGCGCCGTGCGGCTGTGAGTGACTACGCTCCACACACCTACCTGCAGGGGCAGATCCGGATCCATCGTGAATTTGGGGATCTTATCAGTCCACGGCAGAAACTTCCTGGTAGTGTGGTCCAGATAATAATCGAAGACTGTTCCCTGAGACGGAAACTTGACTGCTTTCATCTCCTTATGCCACCACCGGCTGAACTCCGCTTGGCAACCAGAAAGCTAAGGGGAGTGAAACATATCTTTGTTGCAGACTTAAAGCCCACGCTGAACATGTGCAAAACCCCTCCACGTCCTGCTGAACAGAGTGTGTGCAGTGCAGAGTCACAGTTACAGATGGGAATGAACCAACTGAACCAAGGAAAAGAAGTAACTTCAAGCCCTGGCTGGTGTAGCTCAGTGGATTGAGCGCGGGCTGTGAACCAAAGTGTCACAGGTTCGATTCCCAGCCAGGGTACATGTCTGGGTTGGAGGCTATAACCCCCAGCAACTGCACATTGATGTTTCTCTCTCTCTCTCTCTATCTCCTTCCCTTCCCTCTCTCAAAGTAAATAAATAAAATCTTAAAAAAAAAGAAAAGAAATAACTTCAAATTACAAGGAGTGATACTATCGGAAAGGTAGATACCTATAGTTGCCACATATCCATTGGGTATAAATTCTCTGGAATATTTATTAGCTTAAAAAGCCAGGTAAGGTTAGGTGAACCTTAAATTACCTCTGGGTTCTTCTATTGAACAAGGAGCTACTATACCAATTACCATGCTACCTATCGCAAGACTGTGGTTATCAGACTTTGGTGTTGATTTCTTTAAAGAGGTAATAAAGTATTCAAATCAACTGAGGTAAATGAGAAAATTAAGAACAAAGAAATACTTTATAAAATTGGTAACATTATTTGAGTTAAATACCATCTTTTATTTGCACTTATAGCATTCTTGGAATTTTTGTGTTAAAATATCCTTTCCTTTACAAAATTATGGAGCTAATAAATGATCATTTTTAATAAATGCCCTTATTTTTCAGAGTAAGCAATCAGCAATCCTATTTCGTCCTTTCAAGTCATTATTGGAACCTTGTGGGCCTTTGAGATTCTAAAACTGGGAACAGCTGCCTGGGAGACGGATGTTGAAGAAAGGCCTGAAGTTGGTTTTCCATCAGGGCACGGCCGACCGAGGGGCCTGGCTGCAAACCCCCCCGGTGGCAAGCTCCCACCCTCCAGAGGGGACACGGTGGCAGCAAACAGGCTGCCCCTGCTCCAAGGTCCTTGCTTGTGCACGGTGGTAGGTACGGGCCAAGACTAGAGTTCGGAGAGCGGAAGAGGGGAGATGGCAACCGTGCGCTGGCAGCTCACACTCCCTCCCACCCGCGGGAGGGCCTGGCCTGGGGACGTCTGTGTGCGCAGGAGGGCCTGGCAGAGCAAGTTTTCGTGAACTCTAAAACACGAACACTGCGTATGACCATTGTATTCAACTCCCATTTTCTCGGGGGAATTCTTGGATCTGCTTTTACTTTGGTGTCCTTATGTCCTGGACGACGACCTGGGCTGATGACACACACGGGGAGAGACAGATGGACGGCTGGAGGATGGGAGAGTGAGGCCTGGCCTGAGAGGGGCGGGCAGTCTTAGCAGGAGGAGCTTGCTCACCCTCCAAACAAGCTCACACTCCTGCCACTGCCGCTCACTGGGGAGAGCATTCAGGCTCCTTTCAGTCCTCCTCAGACTGGTGGCAGGGGACACCTTGTCATCCCACCAAAGTTGATCTTAAATGAAGTTAGCTCAGATGGGATTACTTATCCAGCACTGTTCTTTTAGGCAGAATACACAGGATTTCTGCTTTACAGCCAAATTTACTTCACCTAACCTCTAGATCAGCGAGGGAATTTTGGTGACCAATCTTTAATGCACCGATTCGCTCAATGACAATGCATTTATTCTATAGTGGGAAAGACAACTAAGGAGGTTTCTGCCCTGGCCAAGTTCATGGGGAAGATGGAGGGGGAGACACGAGGAAACCTGGGGGTAGCGGAGATGGAGCCATCAATGCAGACACAGATAAACTAGGCATCTTGAGAGTGAAGTTTGCTATAAGGGAGAGTAACAGGAGTGAGTCTGTTTTAACTGGTGTTCAGAGCAGCCGTGTTTGAGAGCACGTGCAGGTCAGGGAGAAGACTGTTCCCGTTCGCAGGAAGAGGTCGGCGTGCACAAAGACCTGATGTGCAACTCGTTGTGCTCCAGACCTATGCAGCTGGTGGGGCGGGAGGGGAGGGAGCGCCGGAGGAAGAGGTGGGGAGAGAGAGGCAGGGCCAGGTCCAGGGGTCTTGCACATGGTATTAGAATCTTTAACTTCATCTTGAAAGCCACAGAAATCCAAGTTGGCGGTTACAAAATAGTTACCGGATGTAAAGTACAGCACAGGGAGTACAGCGTAGTCAATAATATTGGGGTAACTGTGTATGGTGCCAAGGGGTCCTGGAAATATCCGGGGGAGCGGAACACTTTGTAAAGCACGTGACGGCCTAACCACTGCTCTGTTCACTTGAAACCAATACAAAATAATAGTGAAAGTAAACTGTAATTGAAAACTTTTTAAAAGGGGGGAAGACAATAGAAATCCATTAGAGTGTGTTTCATTCTAGAGCATATAAAAAAATTCAACTTATATCAAAAGAATCACTGTGGCTGCCGAGGAGATAATGGATTATAGAGCAAGCACAGCGGCAGAAAGACCAGTGACGAGGTGACCGCAGCAGCCAGGGAGGAGTGATGATGGCAGTTCACGGGAGCCCCGGAACCGGCGACGGAAGACCTGTTTTGGAGGGGTCTGCAACCCTTCCTGGGCCTGGGGGGAGAACACAGCTCCAGAGTCAGCCTAGTACAGTTTGAACCCGGCTAAGATATTAGTTGGCTCTGCGTCCTCAAGCTGGCTAACGCATCGGAGTTTCAGCTCCTTTTCGTAAAAGAAGAGAGAGGATAGCTGTACTACAGCAGAGGTTTGTCTTTTAAGTGTCAGTGAGATAGCTTATGAAGAGCCCTGAGCACGTTCCTTGCAGGGAGGAGGCACTCAGATGTGGTGAACTAATGTGCGGCTATCCAAAGATTGTTTCTGGGTCTGCTTCATTCCTGCTTCCAACCTCGTGGCCTCTATTTTGAATGCTTCATAGTCGGACCCTTTTTAAAAATTTAAAGATGATGATGATGATGATGATGACAATGATGACAACTATTAATTAGGGAGAAAGCACCTGGACAGAAAGGTGCGCACTCTGATGCCTAGCTTCCAGCCTGAAGGCAGCCGTGTTTGGAAATTGGAAAGATGAAGAGGATGGTCTGGGAGGAAGGGGAGGCAGAGAGTTAGGAGGGCAAAACCTCAGCAGTCAACATCCCACTCATACGATTTCCCTGGTTTTTCAGTCCTGGGAAAGGAAAACCCTTGTGGAGAACACTGGGGAAGAAGCCCATGGGTGGTTGGGTAGAGGGGAAATTCTATGGGTGGTCTCCACAAAGAAGAAACCCACAGCTGCTGTAAACTGTGCTTTTGAGAAGAACCATGTGAAGTCACCCAACACCCGTCCCTGACGCTCACTCAAAGCTAAGGGCTGTTATTCTTCACAATGCACTTGGAGATTCCAGAAGAAAATGTGGCTCCTGAGAAGGGTCGAAATAAGGCCTAGGAGGCCAAGTGAACATCATGTTTATTTACAGACACGATTTCTGGTAACCTAGCGACAAGAAGCTGGCGTGGGCCACAGGTCAGAGCAGCCGTGTATTTTACCGCCTTGGGCAAGTACTCGTGGCTGTGATGCCTTCCAACTTAAACTCCCTGTGTACATCTGGAGACATCTGGGGAAGCCTGCAAGATGTGTGCCACCTAGTTCTAGTGCAGAGCTTTAGGGGCACCTGCCGAAGCACTATGGCCATGACGAGCCTGAGGGAGCCTGGGAGGGGTGGCATTTGGAGGCGTGCCTGGGTCGGAGTCCTGACATCGTCATTTCCCATCAGTGTAACCTTGGTCACATCACTTCACCTCTCTGAGCTGTACTTTACCTGCAAAATGTGGATAGCTTGAAGAATTTTTGTGAAAATTACACGAGAAAATCTACAGAGAGAGGTGCATGGTGGAGATTAGATGCACAAATGTCTAACACTGAAAAACTCCCACTGTGCACTTTGGCTAGTCTCAGTGGTGTGTGCATGCGTGTGTGCTTGTGTGTATGGGTACACTTGTGAAAGTTCTTATCTCAAGTGTCTGCCCAAAAGAAATCAGAAGCCACACGTGGGGTGTACTAGAAACGCTGTGCAGGAGAGACAGCTTCTCTTTAGGCCGAAGGAAAGACCAGTGGAAAGGAACTGGCCTGGGGTTGAGTATTCCCTGGGAGTCATGTATGAGACTGAGAAGCAAGAAGAGAAACTAGAGACAAAGAAGCCAATCTGAAGGTTAGCATAAGCTATGGGTGGTATGGCAACCCCTGCCCCCGCCCTGCAAATCCATATGTTGCAGCCCAGTGTGAGAGTATCGGGAGGAAGGGCCGTTGGGAGGTGATCAGGTTTAGACGAGGTCAGAAGAGCGGGGCCCTTGTGAAGGGAGTAGTGCCCTCAACGAGAAGGAACACCAGAAGGTTTATCTTTCCTTCTCTGCCATGTGAGGAAACAGGAAAAGCAGCTGTCTACAGGCCAGGAGGAGCGTTCTCACCAGAACTCGACCACACTGGCACCTTGACCTTGGACTTCCAGCCTCCAGAACTTCTAGAAGGTAAATTTCTGTTTGATATTTTGTTGCAGCAGCCCAAGCTAGGACACTATGACAGCCCAGGACCATCTAAATATGTTTCACCCTTGAATTAGGGCTATAGGGGTGGAGAAGAGGGGGCAGACTCAACAGCTGTTTTGTGATGGACCCTGAGAGCATCTGGCGAATGAGGAAGAGTAAGGCCTCCCAGGTTTCAGATGGGGGCAGCTGCGGGGGATGGGAGTGCCACAGCGGAGAAGGAAGAACAGAGGAAGAGCTCGGTCTTAGGCATACTGCTGGCAGGCACTGCTCCCCAGGCTGGTGGGACCCACAGCCCAGGCAGAGGGCCATCTGGTGGAGGGCTATGGATCTGGCATTGTCGGCCAAGGTCAGAATAGTCAGTCTGGCTGAGTGTGCCTGGGCAATGCCCAGGCTTAGGAGAGAGCAGGGCAAGTACCACAGACTTCTGTAATGGAAGAGAAACATAGGGGTCACAGAGTACAACCATCCCTCCCACAGACAACTGGAGCTGTAAACTGTTCCCAAACACACCTGGTCTTGCAGCAGGGCCCCTCCGAAGGCCCAGATACAAGCAAAGACGAAATAGACTTCATAAACCTCCTTTGGGCTGTCGGAAGGTACATTTTCCGGAGTCAGCAGACATTCCAGAAGAGCACAAATAGTCTAAAGAACAAGAAGTACGCATTCATTTAGGGCAACGTTTTTGCAGCAGTGGAGTATGTTTTTAAGACTCACGAACAAATTCACTTTATCCTTAAGAGAGGACATCGCTTTTCCCTACGCCATGATTTGCTACATTGGGAGAGACTGCCTCAAGTTTCTATGTCAACAGAGGAAAACCTTTGCCACTTTCAATCAAACTGGTCTTCTAAGTAACAACTATTAAAAACTTAAAATCTGAAGCTGTCCAATTACTAGTCACTGTAACAAACAGATAAGCAAAAAAAGAGGGGTCTATCTATGCTCTTTTTTATAAACAGGGAGTCGGACCACATTCAGTGCTCTGTAACCCACGTTCTAACCGGCGAGTACAAACTGAGGAATCTTTTCTTACCAGTACGTGTTGTCCTACAGCGTCACTGGGAATGAATGAGTGACACTCCTCCGGGTGGACAGGCCTATTTAACGATTTCCCTCTCGTCGGGCATTTAGGTAACACCCCTCCCCTTAGTGCGTGGGCAGCCCCTTTCCCCACCTGTGGCCATCAGTTTAGAAAGTCAGACTGTCGGCCTTAGCCGGTGGCATTGTTTTTTGGACATCGGGCTAAATTTAGCTTTTCAGGAATTCATTCTTCATCCCCCCAACCCCAGGCGAGTCCCACCCCTCTGTTGATGTGGAACCTACCCCTCCCATCAGGGTACCAGGTATTCAGGGTATCAGCAAGGGAGCCCTGGCGGCTGCCGAGGCCTTTCCCGTGGGCAATGATAACCCGTGATGCACACGGTTTTGGGTTAGTTCTCTAAGGCACAATTAGTTGTCACGAACTCACATTGTCACAGACCCTCAAAACTCATGACGCCCTTCCCCTAGTTTTAGGGGACAGCAACAGACTTTTTTTGCTGTCATATACACAGCAATGCAAGCTTTATCGCAGCCCGTGAGGACTGCCCCTCCCTCCCAGCCCCGGAAGAGGGCAAATCGGTGGCGGGGGGGTGGTCCTGGCCATAGTCTGGAGAGGCTTTTAATTTTATCAGGTGAGTACCTGCTGCATTTTCCCATCTCCTCTCCTGACTTCTAGTACTGTATATGGTGTTATGGTTGCCAATTTAAAATCATTTTCTAATAGAAGAAAACTCACCAATTTGTTACCAAGAAAAATAATGCACAGTTCTGAGGCTTTGCTATTTCTGGGTGGAAGCCACGTTGGTGTAAGGAACCGTTCTAACCAAAACAACGATACCGGAAGGTCTCCATGTTGAGTTACCCATCGATTCGAACACTCTAATAACTTAGGTTTCTTTCCTATTTTCTTCCAAACACAGTACTTAAAACACATTTTGAGTGCTGTGTCAGCAATTAATGAAATCACACTCTGGTGCACATTCTAAAAGAGCTAATACACCTTTTTAAGTACACAGAATACACCTTAAATACACAGAACTTAAAGCAAAGAAGTTTGATATCTGGAAAACATAATACACTAATTTCTTAAAGTAGCTGTTAAACTATTCTCCTTTATGCCCATTTTTGTTTCAAATCCATGTCCTTAGAAGTAACCACAGAAAAGAGACTATTGTGTAAAACAGCTAAAAAGAAGCTGAGGAGAAAATACCACTTCTGAATACTACAAAAGGAGGAAGTCATATTAATTCCTACTGACCTATTTTCACACTACTCTTGAATGAAAAAATTCACACCACAGAGAATCACACAAATACACAAGTCAACTTGAGAAAGAACACAACCATGCTTTTTACAAGTATTACACCAGAGGAAGTCTAATTAGGCTAACCACATAATTAATTCATTATGAATAAATTCAGACCTGCTTTCAGAAATAAATTATACCTCAGATAATTACTGCTGAAGACTAGCGTTTACTTAATTGGTGTGTGAATAATCCAAAAAACCTGAACTTTCTCTTCTTATTATGCTTGTGACTTTATCTAAATTAGCTTCAAACAAATTCGGTAACATAGTAAGTTAATGGTAACAAAATACTTTGAAACCAAATTTGCTCCTGTAGGAAAAACAGGAAGGTTTCCAGTGATAAATCTTTGGTGAAGTTTTATGCTTCTCGAGGCTGGGGACGGGGCTTTCTCACCCCGAGATTCGGGTCACAGCCTTCGTCCCTGTGTGCCATGAATTATCTTTATTTGCTTCCATGACAGCATTTCATGTGCACCCTTCATTCTCACCAGCTGTCTCACAAGGATTGAAAAACTACTTGTGCTACCTGGGAATATTAGGACCTGTCCGTGTAGACTGGTCTGGGCTTCTGAAATGTTTGGGGTGGGGGAGGAGAGGAAGGGAGGTCCGTGGGCAGTGACACCTACGTGGTTGAGTCTAGACACTTTCTGTAAGTCCACGTCTTTAGAGACAGGAGTCTTTGTATTCAAAAAATACACTGAGCACCTTCTCTGGGCCAATCATGTAGGATAGAGAAAAACAAGGAAGGCTGTTACAACTTTGCCCTTCTTCTTCTATTTAAATATGCTTGGGAGGTACACTTGACTCAATAAAGGCATATTCAGCATCTACTAAATGCTGGTAGTACCCCTGCATGTCTCTGGAAATACAAAAATGAATAAAAGGCGGCTTCAGCCCTCTAGTTCACAGTCTTGTGGGAGAGATCACAAACCTGAATGACAAGAGAACAGGACAGGTGTGTCTCAGGGGTTTGCAAAAGGCACCAGGGGACACGGGGGTTGAGGAGCGAGGGTTGGAGAAACCTCAGCTCCAGCAAGATCTTCCCCTCGCTGCCGTGGTCAGCCCCGCTGCCGCCTCAGGGCTGGCAGGTCCCACGATGTCTCGGAAGACACACCTGCACCAGGCTGTTCTCTGGGATCAAAGTGATGGTTTTAAAGCTTGTTCTCAGCTTCTCCAAGCACGCAGGAACGTATTTCTCAAACAGAATCGTTAAGTTGGCCTTTTCTGATTGATGCTGCCTCCTGTCTATCCAGCTGGCCACGTACCTGGAAAAGAACATGGAAAAGCTTTGACTGCCCCCTGTTCTGAAAAGCAGGATTTCATCAACTCAGAAGCGTCTCCCCCCCACACAGCTTGGTCGTCAACACTTCAGGGAAGTGTTCAGTGAGCTCGTTCCATTTCTGAAGCTGCAAATATTTTCAAATGACTCTTTAAAAACTTCTTTTAGTGGCAATTTTTACTTTAAGGAAAAGAATGAAAAGACATTCCTAACAGCATGAAGAAGCCAGAAATAATAAACTAAAAGTAGCATTACTGAGCATGTGCAAGGAAGTGCAGTTTGTCCCCACAGGGTGAACCTCGTTTATGAAAACAGCTTGGGATTTTTCTTGATTAACCTGGGCATCAATTATTTAGCAATGAGAAACCAGCTACAAATAAAAAGGTGAAGATTCCATAGGGGCTACTTCAAAGTCCCCCTTTACCACTGGACACGTGTAACTGTGACCTCAGAGTCGATAATACGTTTCCAATACCTGGCTCTGAAATGGCATCTCATTCGTGGGGACAGGTCTAGCAATCTGAAGCTTATACAATGTTATTAATTTTGATACACTATCTCTAACTTATTAATAAAGTAATACTTATCAATGAGATGAAGTACTGCTTAGCAGCATCCGCAGTAGTCTCTGGGGAGAAACTGTATGATGTTACATGAAAAATACCTGCTCAAAAAGTCCTCACTAAATAGGAAGCAGTGATAATAAATACACTGGGCTGCCAGCAGAGAAGCTGTGTGCCCAGACCAATTACAACTACGCCTTGCTTTCAGCGGGTCAGAGTTCACAGTTTCAGTATCAGAAGAAATTAAGGCAAGACGATGAGCTTTCAAAAGGCTCCCTTTGGTTTTCATGAGGCTTCACAATAGGGTTTTATTCAATATTCAACTACCTTTACACTAACATTGGGTTTATAAAATATGAACTGTCAAAGCTTTTCTCAGGGCCAAGATGAATGGTTTTCAGTTGAAGTCCGTGCATGATAATAAGTTGAGACAGCACATCTGGGTGACAGTGACAGTGGATACCGAGAACAATGGACAACAGGTGTTAGTTCCCAGGCCCAGAGGCTGGAAGGCCACGCCTACCCCTCAGCTACTCATCCTACTGCACCAGCTGCCAGAAGTGGAATCTTAGTGTCCAGAGCTTACTGTTGATGGGGACTGAGGTGGGGATTGCCCAGAGAGAGGGAACTCCAAAGTCAAACTTTCTGGATCTGTATCCCAGCTCCCCCATTTTCTTCAACTTTGTTACCAAGCTTGGGCAAGTTACTAAACCTCTCCTTGCTTCATGTTTCTCGTCTGTCAGTGGAGATGATGATAATAGAGACTTCTCAGGGTTGTTCTGAGAATTAAAGCAGTTCTCATGTAGAGTCCTTAGGTCACTGTCTGACATAGAGCAATTCTCAATAGCACAGAGCTGGTGGAACTGGGAGCACTGGGTTCAGGTCTAGACTCAGCCTCGCTGTGCATCTCAGAAAGGTAGTGTCGCCGCCGGGCACGAGAGTGGCAGCCCGCGCTCTGATGGGTACGGCAGATTCCCCCTCGCCATCCCAGCACAGTCCGTCCAGCCGCTGTGGGAGCCGAAGGCTATGTGGAGATAACCGGGAGCTGTCGCCTCAGCACAGCCCCAGAAGGGAAAACGGTCTTTGTGCTCAGGGGGCAGGGAAGAGCTACTTTCACTGACCCACTTTGGCAGTTCTTCTGTCTTGGAGAGAAAACCTACGGAGCCCATGAGCAGATGATGCTACTGTACAAATTACCTCCTCAGTAAGGAAGTGAGTCCAACCAAACCAGGAGACATGCTGAGAGCTGACTCTGCCTGGAAAATATAAAAAGGCCCCCAAATGAGCTCCGCCAGGGCCAAACAACACCAGACAGCCTAGGGAGTGTGCAGGGTAAACAGAGGCAGTCTGGCTTCCTCACCCAGATGTCTGGGCAACTGAGGGGAGCAGTTTTCCATAACCCTGTGAACGGGCCTGATAAGCAGTGTTCCCACAGCCTTGAGTGGGCTCGCACGTGTACTATGGAGCTCTGTTGCCTACTATCTGTTGGCACCCTGCCGGCTTTCTTTGTATCCAGTATTTAAGGGGGAAGGGGCTCCTCACTGGGTACCATACTAGGGGACAGGGGACGGTGTCACCCTTGACATTAGAGACATGCATGGGGACACGTGGCTTGCAGCATGCATGGATTGCCCACCCTCAGATAAAGCCACGTCAGACACCCCAGCCGCTCTGTGAATATTCTTCTACATGAATCCCATGAACCTGTCCGGCCTTGAACAGTCACAATGCAGAGTGGAAAAGTCTATGTTGTTAAATATGAACAGTTGATAATTTCATGTACAAATTACCACTCAATTTTCATAGTTTGGAACCAAAACGGTCACTGAAAAAGACTACTAAAAATTTAAAAAGAGAGACTATTATTTTCAGCAATGGCAAAAATTGAGGATTCAGATTGGTACTTGTTGGTGATTCTTTCCAACTTTATAAAAAAGTTCCTTATCATTAAAAAAAATTCTATAGATTTGAACCTGACCAAATGACACATATACTGCTACTGCAAGACACACAGCTGAAAATGACAAGTCGCTTCAGGAAGCAGCTACATTATGATGCCGTAAGGCATCACCTTAATGCCAGTTTCCAGGTCATTAACAGAATGTTCCTCTCTTCAGCATTTGCAAACGTGTTCTATACAATCAGCTCTGTTGCTATTCCCTTCTCCAGAACTGCTGTAGGTGTGTCACACGGAGTCTAAAACCCTGTGGTTTGGAAACTACCCAGGTAGCCAAAGTTTTCAGGCTTCGAAAAGCTTTTTTTTTTTTCAACTACTAGTCAACAGTCTGGGGTTGAGATCTGTCATATAGGACACAGCGGGAATTTATCAGAGCGCCCTATAATTTTCCCCTCACAGCCAGCATCAGGTTCTTTATCACTCACAGAGGCTGGGACAAATGTCAGAAGTTAGAAGGACATTGCTGGTCAGCAGTGCACATTGGTTATTTCTGAATCCTTATGTTTACAAATATATGAAGTGTCCAGACACAAAAGGACAGGCCTGTGGGGTGGAAGGCAGCAAGCTCATCCAGTGCAGGCGAGAGTGTTAGGGGACAAAGCCAAAAGGAGATTTTAAGCCAAAGTAGTAGAAAAAAAACACCTAAAGTCGTGACCCCCAGAAGTTGTTTTCCAGGAATCTCTTTTGGAGTCAAACTAAGTTCTACAGATATTTCCAACTTTCCCATTATTGTTTACAAGCAAAGTAACACATAGTTTGGTAGATCCCATTTTCAGTGTGAAGTTCACTATAAGTAATTACTAAAATAATTTAAATAATTATGAATGCATTTAAATAATTCTTCGCCTATATGCTTTTTTCTCTTGCTATGCATTTCACTTCTTTCCACTAGAAAAAAAATTCTTGCTAATCCCAATTTTCAGAACTGTTCTTCCAATTCCTGTGCCTTTCTCTCCTTCTCAGTATCTCAGCAGACTCACATGAACTATCCAGGATTCTTCCAGTAAACTGACTCAGAACTCAGAACTTAAGTAAAATAGTACTGGGTTTCTATAGCAGGTCACGTGTGGATGTGATTTCAAGGCTGTTGTCTGACCTGATATGCTCCGTATATCAGGTCTGTAAAAGTGTGGATGTAAATTTATTTTTTATGATAGCTCAGTAAATTTTAACAAAATATTCTAAGAAGCTTACATGACAATGGCACTATTTTTAGTCCTTAAACAGAACCCCAAGGAGATACAATGAACATAGTATTTAATAATGTGTATCTACAATATCTTAACAATTCTTACAATATGAGGTAAAAAAAAATTTGTCCTAATTCTGCTCACTGAAAAGGACCCAAAAGCAATGACATACCAATGGCAGTGAGCACACCTAGGATCCCTATACTGAATTCTAAATAGATTCCTTATCCAAAAAGTAGTTTCCTCTGGTTCCTTGGAGAAATGGCTGAATCAGGCCTCAGGTAAGGAAAGTCTGAGATAAGTCAGAAGTATCTTTTTTAGCCAGAAAGCAAAGTACTCAAAGTCTTAGGAGGACAAGAAGAAAGGAAAAAAAAAGAACACTGAACTGGCTGATTTGAAGAGGTTCCTGCTGGTAAAATTTGGGACAATGTGAGCATACAGAAGAATAATGCAGGTAATGAATTATTAGCCACTGAACCTAAATGAAAGAAGCCATAAATAGAAAATGATACTCCTCAAAAATGAAAGGAAAATGGAAAGAAAAGAAGAAAGAGAAAGGGAAGGAAGAAGAAAAAATGTCAGAGAAAACGTTCTTTACAGGAAAATGTCACCCAATATGTGTAGAGAGAGCAACTAAATTGGGAAATCACCACTTTGCAACCACCAGTGGGTGGTTCTGTGAAATATCTGTCTTATTCTCTTCAAAACTGTAGATGGCATGAAAGAGAGAGGTGGGGAGATGTGGAAACGTGATGAACAAAATGAACTGACAAAACAGAAACAGAGGCACGGAAAAACGGAACAGACACACAGCTGTCGGAGGGGAGGGAGTTTGGGGGGGTGCATGAAAGAAGGTGAAGGGATTAAACAAAACATATACACGTGACCCACAGACTCAGACAACAAGGAGATGACGGCCCCAGGGCAGGGGGTGGGGGAGGGAAGGTGGGCAAAGGCGGGATAAATGGGACGGAAAGAGACTTTGCTTGGGTAGACCGCACACGATGCAGAGTGTGGATGTTCTGTTGAGTTGTGCACTTGAAACCTGTATGGTTCTGTGAATCAGTGTCACCGGAGTAAATTCAATTTAAAAAAAGAAGGAGGCGGGGGTCTATTCTAGAGTTTAAAAGATAATAGAGACAAATATATACAATGTGTGACTCTTGTTTTGATGCTTGATTTTTTAAAAAGCTATGGAGGAAATTCACAGAATAAATGGGAAAATTTGAAAAAAATGACTTTATCAGATAAGGGTTCAAGGATAAATTTCTTATGTATGCTAATTATACTGTGTTCATGCAGAAGAGTATCTTAGTTCTTAGGAGATAAATGCTGAAGTACTTAGGGATGAAGTGTCTCAATGTGTCCGACTTACTTTGAAATAAGTCACCAAAAACAAATAAAAGTAGAAAATATGTGTGTCTCTGTGCCTGTCAGAGAGAGTGTGTCCATCCAGACAGAAACTAAACGCATTGAAATTGATGCAGTTGATGAATGCAGGGAAAGAGGGCGCAGTGGTACAGGCGGAGGGGGTACTACTACCTTTTCACTTGTCTGTAACCGTTAACACTTTCAAATTTAAAAATTGGGACCTAAGATACTGGTTTAGAAAACTGGGTTAATCATTATGTTGATCTCAGAAGGCAATTAAAGATCACGTGAGTCAGTAGTATTTATGACATTAAAGCAAGGTAGTGAGGCACACAATAAATGCGAAGTGACAAAGACACCCCTCAACCAAAAGCAGCCATTATTTGTAGTTCTCATTGAAGGTTTGTGGCGGTAGAAGGTGAAAATATAAAAATACCCTTTAGAGAAGATCCCCATTGCTTTGGACCATGACCTGCATGGATGGGCCTTTGGTCATACACACACACATGCAAACCTATCCTTAGATCTTAGATGAAACAAAACCACCATAAAGATAAAGTGTAATGGTGAAGACGGACTTGTTTGACTCTCTCAGGAAGGCAAACGCAGTGTCTCTTTACCCACCTGGTGTCTCTGCGACTCCCTAGATGCAAAGTCCTTCTTCACGCAGCTTTTCCTAGCACACAACTCTACACGATGTGATTGAGATTGGATTACAGAGACCTGGGGAACTGAGAGGTTCGCTATTGAAATTAGCCCACTCCTAGTGAGGGTTGGGGGTCCTCTGAGGGAGATGGGGTGCAAAGATTGTTCCTGCTGTCTGTGTGGGGGAGTCCAGCGTACTGGAGAGTCTCCTTCAGCTAGCCCCCACCCAACAGAAGTATCCTAAGGGGTCATCAGAGCACTAGCTGGACACAGGAGGTGGACACCCGAGAACTCCTCCTTTTTGACCTGCAAAAATCACTCCCTCCCTGAGCCCAACTCAATAAAGCTTTGTTCAACACAAAAGCCTGAACGCGGCTCTCCTTTGCTGCAGAGTTAAGGGAGGAGACTCCATAGTGAGCCCACCAGCACACGGAAAAAGCAGCCTGGAGAAGTGCCTCAGCAGGTGCTGGGCTCAAACAGGTGTCCTCCTCCAATCAGGAGAGTGAGGGGGGGTCCGCAGGGCAGGAGGACTACGGACAGGTGCGGGCATGCAGTGGGACACCGGGAGGAGGGTGCCATGCCACAGGGGAGTAACTGAGCAAGGCTTGCAGCACCTATCCCTGCAAGGACGAAAGAATGAAGGACACCAGCCCCGGAAGGAAAGAATCTTAGGAAGAGATCTGAGAGGAGCCATGACCTGGCATTGAGGGACACAGTCATCCTGATGGGACCCCGCAGGGAGGGAGCCAGGGGGATAAATAGCCTGACCTCATTCATCTCCTCTCTGCCTCTCACTTCCCGCCAGGGCTCCGCACTGGCCCAAGCACCCAGGAGCCTCGGGGCACGGAGTACACTGCAGTGGCCCTCACAGGACGGCCTCTGGGGCGCAGAGCACGGGGGAGGGCACAGGAGGATCTGGCTCAGGAAGCACACCAGCCACAGCACGTGTCCGTGCGCAGAGCTCGGGCATTTCCGCAGCTCCCAGCGGAAGTGCTGCAGGAGGTGACGAGTGACCTCCAGGAGGAATTACGGGAACTGTGAGCATGGGGAGAGTAAGCAAGCAGGCACAATAAACTTCTTCTAAGTCAAAGCATCACCAGCTGTTCACATGTGCACATCGTATGCACACACTCACACATGCTCACTAACCAGTGTGTTCACATCTAAGCACTCCATATGAGCTATTGCTATTCATTCACCTCTTCAACAAATACTGATTTCTTAACAGGAATGTGGTATGAACCAGTAACATCCAACTAAAAATGACAGAGGCCTTCAGATACTAACTTAATTCTCCTTAAACTAGTCTAATTAATCAGCTTTAAATTTGATTGCTAATACATTCTTCAAATAATCATACAAATTTTTAGCTCTTTTAAAAACTAAGATAAAAAGAAATGTTCACAACAACAAAGCCAAACAAATGGACTTAAAAACAGGCAAAGGACTGAAATAGGCATTTCTCCAAAGAAAATATGTAAGTGGCCAACAAGTACATGAAAAGATGCTCAACATAACTAATCATGATGAAGACACAAATGGAAACTGGAATGAGGTAACGTTTCACACCCATCAGGACGGCCACTGTGAAACAGCAGAGGAAACACCAAGTTTGGGGAGGAAACGCAGAGGCGGGAGCGCTCGTGCCCTGCTGGTGGGAGCGCAAAACGATGCAGCCGCTGTGGGAAACAGCGTGATAGTTCTTCTACAATTTGAAAATAGAACCAGTTCGGGTAGCTCTATTTTTAAATTTTAGAAGAACTATCATACAAAGCAAACAAATGAGCAACACAGAACCAGAGACGTGGGAATAAAGAAGAGACAGACAGTGACCAGAGGGCCGCGGGAAGAGGGACAGCGGGGGAAAGGAGGGGGGAGGGGCAAGTCGAGGAACACGAATACAGGACTCACGGGCCGGACAATGTGGGGGGACTGACTGTGGGAGTGAGGGGGTGGGAAACGGGGCACAGGAGAGCAGCGGGGGGAAAGGCGGGACAGCTGTAACTAAACAACAATAAAAAATAACAGAAAAAAATAAAACTACCGTGTGATCTATTAGTTCTACGTGTGTATCTCTCCCAAGAATAACTCAAAGTAGGGACTCAAAGAGGTATCCGTATGCCCTGTTCCTAGAAGCATTAGTTGCAACAGCCAAAAGATAGAAGCAACTCAAGCATCTGTTGATGAATTAATAAATAAACAAAATGGGGTCTATACTGGAAACATACAATGGAATATCATTCAGCCTTAAAAAGGAAGGCAATTCTGGCACATGCCCTAACACAGATGGACTCCGAAGACACACTAAGAGAAATGAGCCCATCACAAAAGGACAATTAGTGTACGATTCTGTCCGTAAGAGGTGCCTAGAGCATTTGAATAGACAGGGACTAGGGCAGGGGGTACTGGAGGGTCACTGTTCAGTGGACGTAGGGCTTTAGTTTGGGAAGATAAAAAATGTTCTGGAGATGGTTGCACAACACTGTGAATGTCCTCCATGCCGCTGAATTGTACACTGAAAAATGATTAAAGTGGCAGATTTTAGATTAAGTACATTTCACCACAATTTTACAGAAAGCGGTACTCACGGATTCCAGCCCAAATCTTGTGGGTTCACATAGAGGACACCAGCTCTGGACACAGTGGCCGGGGTGGCTGTCCCTAAGTGATGGATCTCGAAGAGCAGCCTCATGGAGGGCGTGAGGGCTATGCGCTCATTGCTGGCCAAGGTCAGCACCTGGACCGGAGCACAGCACAGAAGAAGCCGGTCACTCTGGGGCGGAGCAGCACCGCCAATTCCCGCTAACGACGAGAGCACTTCCCCCGGCAGCAGGGCCAGGGCCGTGAGCTCACTGTCCTGAGTCAGCAGTCGGCACAGACCAAATAAAGACCCCGATTCATCCGGAGGGGCGCTCACTGGCCCTTGAGGAACAAACTCACCAAAAGGGATTTATTGATGCCAACCTTTAAATAACTGTGGTAATTATTACTAAATATAAGACATTTGTTCTGGTAGATGACTACTTAAAAAGGCCTGAATACCGCAAAAATAAACTTTCTTTAGGATCTGAAATACCACAATTACCCATTTGGCTATAGAAACTCATGCAAGCATAAAGATCTCAGACCTATATTTTATGATAAACAATGTCTTAGCTCAAAAAGCAGTAATTACTGTGAACTTAAGGGGGTAACTGACTCTATTCTATAGGAATGATGATTACTGAATTCTTTTTCCTGACCTCTAATGATAGACCTGGCGTGGCTTAAACGGTGCCTCAGAGACCTGTCCATTCACATTGATTTTACTGGGAATGCTGGATGAACCACGGCAAAATGCTTAGGAATGCGTTTATACTGAATCGGTAGCCACGGGAACCACTTAATGTTGAACTTGTCCATCATTATTCAAGCATGCCACCCTTCATCAAAGATGAAACATATGATTTATGCCTAGCTCTTAGAAATGGTAAAATGTGTATGACCTAAATTCTTGAATACATATCTCTTTTTAAAGATGGTCAAATTTAAAACAGGCAAGAAAAATGTATTCACGTAAACTCTTTAACAGTGACATGGAGAGAATTAGCGGAAAAGCGCCACTCATCAAAGCAGTAACTACATAAAGAACATCAGGCTGATGCCTGAGAACCACTACTACAGTCAACAAGTGAGCAACACACGTAATGCCCTCCGGGTGTGAGCTTAAGGTTCATCTCTGAAGCGGAGTCACCTTGTTGTCATCCATGACAGTGTTCAGTGATTCGATCCACAAGGGGTCAACATCTCCATCCAGGACGATCCATTTCGGTCCATCATGCGGAAGATTTGCTTGTTCTCGCAGAATGGATGAGAAGAGACCTATAAATGAAGAGTAAACAGTCTTTTGTTTTGTTTTGTTTTTTAATTGTTGTTCAAGTACAGTAGTCTCCATTTTCCCACCACCACTTTCCCCCTCCCCACCCACCCCCACCTCCCACCCTCAATCCTGCTTTTTTAGTAAGTAAATAAACTTTCTGTAAATGTGTTGCCTCTCTCTGGCAGGCAATGTGTTTGAGCCACTCCTGGGCTCCAGACCAAGGGCGAGTTTCACATTCACGAGGAGGCTGGTGAACTTCGCTGGCTGAACTTCCCCAGATGTCAAACAAAGGTGACAGTAACTTCCTTGAGGAGCAGTTGTGGGAATTTATAAAAGGCAACCCACATGACACTCAGAGCGTGCACCACATCGTCCAGGCATTACACCAGGCATTATCCTTTCTCATGCGCATACGTTCAGTATCTATTTCAGGGCAAACAGCAGTTTATTTTACCTTCCCCATTTTTCTATAACAAGGGGCATAATTCTACAGCTCCGGTATTCAGGCGTGCTCTACAATTCCTTGATAAATTTGGTCACTGGCATTATATTAAGTTATCATTACTTGACAAGACGTAGAGACAAAAACATTTTAAATTCACAGTCCTTTTAGCCGTTACTACCTATCTAAGCATAGTGTATTACATGGTGTATTTAATAGTTGCTGACTTTTCAAAATTCAAGTACATAATACCATGGTGAGAAAAATGGTTTAATCCATGTATGTGGAATGTTTTGTTTCCTCTGTGAAGTATTTTGTGCAAACATAAGTGATGGTAGGTAGTAGAACTCGCCACCATAATTCAAAAAAAGCCAGCATCACTCGAAAGCTTCCACAGATTTTCAGTATAAATGGATATTATTCCCTTCCTGCCACAGTCCTTTAAAAAAAGATTAAAAGCGATGAGCAAAATTTGATTGTCCCACAAATTAAGAATGATGAGGTAGGCTTCTAAACACAGGATCAGCAAGGAAGTCTTCTCTGATGTGACATTTGATGGGATCCTTTCATAACGTAAGGGAGGAGGCTGTGCAAATCCTTTCAGTGTTGCAGAGGGTGGGAACTTCGAGAGCAAAGGCCCGGTGATGGAAAGATCCTTGCAATGTTCCAGGATAAACAAAGAGTCCAGCGTTTATGGACTATTCATAGTAGGTGAAGGGCAGAGTGCAGGGAATGAGGTCAGACACGGGGAAGAAGGATCTAAGCACATAAGAACCCTGTGGGCCTGGGATAAAGGTTGAATGGAAGGACGGTGGAACCGCCCTGGAAGTGGCAAGCAGAGAACGAACATTTTGAAGAGCGCCCTCTGTCTGCTGGATGGACAATGAACTGCAGGGAGACCAGAAGGACTAGTGCGGTAGCTGCAGAGAAGTACTGAAATACATTCGTCCCTTGCTATACCGCGGTTCACGTATTGCGGCTTCATTGTATCTCAGGTCCCTTAAAACCACAATACGTGAACCGCGATATAGCGAGGGACAACTGTATACTGCACTGGTGAGTACCCATATAGAATTTTATATGTTGTTAAAATTACATAGGTGTAAGAGTGTAGAAAGTGTTTAAGAGCATATGAAGTGTTTATAAGAGCGTGGGAAAGGTTTATAGGAGTGTGGGAAGGGTTTATAAAGCCTTGAAATATATGTAAATAATAAAATAAATATAACGCCGCTACTTCACAGATTTTCACCTATCGCGGGGGTCTCTGGAACGTACCTCCCGCGACAGGTGAGGGACCATTGTATATGTATATTAAAGGTAAAGCCCACACGATTTGCTGTGAAGTTGAAGGTCGGGTGTGAGAGGGGAAGCAGACTCGAGGATGACACTGAGGACAGTGCGTTTAATGAAATGAGAAGTCATAACAACAGATTTTAACAAAGGGTCTGCTCGTCTGCAAATATTTTCAAGGCAAGAAACACGTCCGATTGACTTTCGTCTGTGGGACCCAAAAGACTGCCTGCCCAAAGCCCGCCAGGGTCCTGGACCAGGCACTTTATAAACGCTCCCTGAGGCATTCGCGTTGCCTTCTTTGCTGGTGTACACGGAGTCCTGACATCACGGGTGTGGGATAAAATACACAGCTCGGAGTGCAAACCTGCTGAATGCAAATTGACCACTTATTCAAATCCAGCTTGAATTTATAGGTTATAAATGCTGCTCTGAGTTGCTGTATCTCCAGTAATGCCGACACATAAACAGTAAATCTACAACTGTGACTACAATTGGCTTGAACTGAGAAATGGTTTTTCTGGATAAAGATGAGAAATTTTTAGCACTTCAAAAGGGGAAAAAATACTACTTGCCATCTTTCCATTCTCGGGTAGCATGATGTATGAAACCGAAGAGCTCATCTGTCGTCACAGCTTTAGGGTTTAAGTCATTCCAAATGGGTTTTTGTTTCATGTTAACATATGTTCGGTTCAGTGTTCTCAAAATCTGAGGGGAAGAAGGACAGAGAAAGCTAAGAAAATTCATATTAATAGAAGTCAAATGGAAAGCAAAAGATTTTGAAGGATTTTCCTTATTCACGACACGTTCCTAGATGTTCCTTGTGTATTAAGATTGAGAATAAGAAAAAGTTACATGTGAACATTTTCATCACCATCTTGAACAGCTTAATCCTGCAATCCCTTAGGACCAATTCACCGGATTCTTTGAACAATGTAGACTACAGGAAGTCACTCTAATGTCTGAGATATTTTAACCACACTTGCAAAGTGAAGGACTGAATGTAAGTAAGCATTCCTGTTCACGCTATTAAAATCTACTCTGCCTGTATTAGATTGTGCTCAAAATTTAGCTTGCATCAGCATCGCTTAGGCTCTGAGGGGAGTTAAAATACAGACTGCTGGACCCACTCATGGAGTTTCTGATTCAGTAGGTCTGGGGCGGGGCCAATGAGCTGCATTTCTACTAAGGTCCCAGGCAATGCCTGTGATACTGGTCTGGACATGCATTGAGGTCTAGGGACCTGGAGCAGTAGCTCTCAACAGCAGATTGCCTCAGCTTGAGGGAGGAGGGCGTGCTACTGGGTATCTCGTGGTTGAGGGCCAGGGATGCTGCCGAACATGCTGCAATGCACAGGGCGGCCCTACGACAAAGAGTTAACTGGTCCAGAATGCCAGCGGTGCTGAGGCTGAGAAACCCTGACCTGGATCCCGAGGAAAAGAAGTCTTGAGGATAAGGGTTCACAGAATTAGGTGCTTAATAAATGTCTGTCTAATTGATATCTTAACCCAGATATACTCTGATTGTCACACAAGGGTTTGCAGGGTGGATGAACAACTGCCAAACACTTTGAAATCATAAGGTGTTAAATGGCGTGGCCCCGAGGTTTGGTGCTCTGGTCACACCAGCTTATGCAAAGGCTGACCAGGGCAGCATCAGTGAAGACTAGACGAAAGCAACAGAATGCCTTAGGAATAGTAAGCTGCCATTTTTAGACACTGTAAGTCTACTGAAAATGATACAATTTAATTTCCCTTCCCTAACCCATAGCCCTCATCTGCAACTTACTCTAACCAAATAATTACGGGTCTTTTAGTTATCGTTCTTTCATCAACTAAATGTTACTATTTCAATTATCACATTTTTCACTAGAAAGATCCTCACCCAGGGCCCCCTTCACAATCGCTCCCGTCCGTGTTGACCCCTGCGTGCCGGTAAATTCTGTATAACCCACGCTCTGAAGTCTCCTATGCCCACGCTCACTGGTTTTAGTTGTTGGCCACTAATACGTTTACACCCAAGCACCCTGAACTAAACTGCATGCATTTCTGCATATGCTGTCTGCCAACCAAAAAATAAGTATGTTACCAGGATTGCCAGTAAGACCAGGCAAAATCAAGCAGTGAACTACAAATGGGGATAATAATGTCCGTGGCATGCCATCACTGCGCAGAGTAAATCACACGTAATATGCCTAATAGGTTCCTCGTAGTGCGCATGACAGATAGCTCAAAAATGGGGTTTGTGCTGCCTCCCTGTCTTTCAAGTTTTGCTTTGGCCCTATCAGCAGAACTCTGGAAGCCTATGTTCTGAGAGAGTACTGGAGGAAAACGTTTGGGTTTTCTCAATGATATGAGGAGAACCTGGAATAATGTGGACCAGATAATGAAGTATAGTTTTGATAAATGAAGGGGGGCCGGTCGAACCCTGTAAGCCAGGCATCTTATTCTAGAGTCCCTCAATGGCTAACTGTGGATAAAAGAATTCAGGCAGAGTGACATTATTGAAAGGTGCACACCATAGGACGGCATATATCTAAATGAGTGAATAGGATGCTGCATAGCTCATGTGGAAAACCCAGTCTCCACCTCAGCTTCCTTTCCTGGTTTAAATGTAATGTTCTGTTTGTTACTCTCTCCCAGTCCCCATGACAGAGGGAAACGGTGTCAACTGATCAGAGAACGATAGTGGAAGCTTGGATTCTAACTCAAAATCACAGTGGACTTCACTAATGGGAACTCTGAAAGAGAATTGAGAATAGCCCTCCTCCTCGCAAAAACTGTCCCTTCGCAGGCTGAAAGCCAACTGGCAGTTTACTATACCTGACTCTTGCCGGTGCCTGCGTTTCCAACCACGAAGACAGAGTGCCGCACGGCCAGCAGTTCCTCGAGCTGGACGACCTGCAGACCAGACAGCCAGTCACTGCTTTCCTTGAATGAGTTTGCGCTTAATAAGACATAAAACACCACCCATTTTGCCCAGCTCTTTCCTGACAACCCACGCCGGCCACCCCCCCCCCACCCCCGACATTATACAGGGAGAGGCAAAGGTAGGTTTCCAGTCGTGAGCATGCAAAATGCAGAGTTTATGCCTGTATCGATTTTTATTCGTTATTGTACTACTTCCCATCCAAACCCCTGTAAGTCTACTTCTGCCCACCCGGCCTCCCAGGAGCCTTAGAACGGATGGCAAGGACAAAGTGCAGTTTCTCTGGGACCTGCCCACACGGGACACAGGAGTGAGGATGACGACCACCCGCTACTCAGTGAATCGCTGCCACAGGCAGAAGGGAAGGCAGCAGTGCTGGGTCCACGGTGGGGCCTGTTAACGGTCAGTGGCTTCATGAAGTACTGGGCAACCCCAGTGTATGGCTAACTGCCATCTACATCTGAGGAATGACTGATATCCTCTAAAATATCTAAAACACATGCTCTGTGAGTATTTTAACATCCATGCCTTCACTACGCCCAAACAGAGCACCCACGGTGACAAGCCTTTAATAAGTCAGATGACGTCATACATGCAGACATTTCTCCCCATGAAAACATGCATTAGTAATTTTACTTCTAATTTTTTCTAAACTGGATAAAAAAGAGCAAAATTAATTAGGTTAATTTTGGGTGCATGTCACCAATGAGTTTAATAAACTAATAAAAAATATGCTTGAAGGAGAGGAAATGGGACAACTGTAATAGAACACAATACAAATTTTAAACAATACAAATTAAAAAAATAAAACACAGGAACTGAATAAAAGTATGTTTACATTTAAAACCATGACTTAATCATGTGTGTGTGTTTACTTTCTCACAGACTGACGGAACAAACTCTATTTGCTCTAGTAAAGACTGTCAGATTAGAACACTTCTGGGGTGTCCAACCCCCCGCCCACGGGCCGCAGGCAGCCCAAGAAGGCAATGAGCGTGGCCTGACACAAAATCATAAATTCACTTAAAACATTATGAGATTTTTTTTGTGTGTGATTATGTGTTGCAATGTATTTAATGTGCGGCCCAAGACAACTCTTCTTCTTCCACTGTGGCCCAGAGACGCCAAAAGGTTGGACACCCCTGCAAAGTATATGTTAAGATCATATTAAGGTGAGTGTAAGTTGAAGTCTTGTTCAGTGTCCCTTAACCACAGTGATGTCACTGCACAGCCCACGGGCTGCCATGACACGTAAGTGGCCCCTCCACCTTGAGGATGAAGCTCTCCTCGGACTGCAGGCGGAGCTCCAGGGCGGACTGCCTGGCCATCTGCTCCAAGTGCGGGGCCCTCCTTCGGGGCACGTCCAGCGCTGGGAACAGGTCACCCACCAGGCCCAGAAACACAGGGATGTCCTCAGTCACTATTTTAGGCATATTGAAGTCCCTTAATGCTCTCATGAGTACCTAGAAAAGGGAACAGAACACACTTTATTTTTTAAAAATGCCAATACACCCCTGGCTGGTGTGGCTTAGTGGATTGAGTACTGGCCTGTGAACTAAAGGGTCGTCAGTTCGATTCCCAGTCAGGGCACATGCCTGGGTCGCAGACCAGGTCCCCACTAGGGGGCATGCAAGAGGCAACCGCACACTATGTTTCTCTCCCTCTCTTTCTCTCTCTAAAAATAAATGAAAATTTTTTAAAAAAAGGAAGCAATTATATTTTTAAAAAGCCAATACAATGTCTAACAAAGACCTAAACAGCTAAAGATGTTTTATTTCTCACATCTAAAGCACGAGGGTCAGTACTGGTCTCTGTCAAGATGGCATTGCACCTGCAGGGGGGTTAAATGCTCTCGAGCTCACGCGTCAGAACATGCGAAGGCTCTGCCAGCACGGTGGACAGACTTGGAGGAGTAGAGCCATCAAGGCGGTGCCGATCCCTCGCTGCCGATGATCTGCTCTGATCTTGAGACAGGGTCTGGGCCCTTCTCTCCTTAATCCTCACAGGCCAGCACATCAATTAACCAAGACCACCAGATCATTTCGTTCAAAGTTCTCCGAGAATCTCAGAAGAATAAACTCAACCATTTTCAGCTGGGGTCTTTGTTTTATATTGGCTGAAAACCAAAAAGGGCTTTAGATGCTCAAAGCAGTAACTTGAACATGCAGATGACTCATACGGAAAGAGGTAAGCATTTCAACAACAACAAGAACAACACCGCAGGAGAGAAAATAAATGCAAGGAAATCCTGACCGCATCATGAACTGTGACTGAGAGGAAGAGAGAGATTGAAAAAAAGAATGTGGAACCCTGGCTGGTGTGGCTCAGGTGGTGGGAACATTGTCCCATAGAGCAAAAGGTCACAGGTTCGATTCCCAGTCAGGGCACAGACCCAGGTATTGGGATCCATCCCCAGTTGGTGCACGTACCAGAAAGCAACCAAGCTGATGTTTCTGTCTCATGTCAGTGTTTCTCTCTCTCCCTCTTTCTCTTAGAGAAATGAAGAAGTGTCCTCAGGCAAGGATAAAAAAAGTGAATATAGAAAAATCACATAATATATACCCTTTCACATCCAAGGACACTCAGTGGATAGATCTATTTCTTTTCAACTTCTCAAGCCATAGTGCATGCATACATAGGCACTATGCATACCTAGTGCTATATATTCTTTACTCTCGCTGCTTATTTAATGCAGAAGAATAGACACGCAGCTGCTATTGTTTCCTGCTTGGAGGGACAATTCCCTACCACGCAGCTCTGAGTAACCAATGTGGCAGGGCACGGGGGTCAGGCCATCAACCCTCCTATTCTGTGTTTCGTGTCCCTCTTACATCCTATGACATGGGCATACTTTCCTCCATTAGATTATGTCTTCAGTGACTTTTTCAGGATTAATACTCCAGAATTAATCAAATTTTCTAAATGTTCCTTAGAGGAAATCAAACAGCAATCACTGAACTATTTGATTATGACCGCCAAAGTATTGTTAGTAGCTGACATTTCAAAAGCACTTATGAAATTACATTTTCTTTCCTACACTCGATCCTTTTACTCAATAATACTTGTGATCTTTTATAATACAAGAAATGCCCGGGCTCAAAATATCCTCCATTAATAATAGATGCTATGTGTTTACAGGTTGTGCTATGCATGACCCACTGTCCAGGACATACCGTGATTTGTATGAAGCCAGTGTACGGCCGTACCACCCTGAACGTGCCCTATCTCGCCTGATTTGTATGAAGCTGTTTAGCTACTCACTCAACAAAATCACGTTCGTATTGCATTACCTGGTCTTCAGGTCTATTTTTATCTCCTCGTTTCAGGGAGCCAGCTACGACCAAGACAGATTTAATAGCTCGAAGTCCCCAGTCATAATGATCCTGAAATCAAAACACAGGCAAATTTTCTAAAAAGCTGTGTGAGGGAATAAGATTCTTGTTCCAGAAGTAAAAGCAGAACGCTAGGAGTTCAGAGAAACGCATGCTTTGATGATGTGAAGCCATATTGCCCTCCCCTCTTTGAGACCGTGACAGTCATGTCCCTTCGGCTTCTTCCAGCTCCTTTCACCCTGTCCTCTCTGCCTTTGTCAGCAAATTTCTTCTTCCCACAGCATTTCGTTGTGGCATTTGCCTGGGGCTCCATCCACCTCCCTTGCTCTTCTCTCTCAATAGACCTGCTAACTCAGGAGTTCAACCCCCTCCACGTTTTCCCCTCTGTCCACAGGCACATGTCTCAGGTTGTACCAACAGCTTTGGTGCTCCCCCCTTCTCCAGGCCTAGGTCTCAAATTGCCCTGGTTACTGTGGTGTTTTAATACTTTCAGCCTGGAATGGCTGCAAAATGATGTCATCAGGAATTAATGAAAGGTCAAAGGACCAAAGTCAAAGGTGGCCGAAAAGCTGAGTTTAAAAATAATAATGCTGATGCATGTGTAACTTTTGTGGCATATCAGCAACTTCAATGAAACTGCAAGAAGCAAATGACTAGAGAATAGAAAATAGTTAAGTTTGACCCATTTCAGAGACAAAGGAATTGTAGAGCGAAAGTTTAAAAGAAAAAGCAAACTCTACTTCAAATGATGGATTACCAACAACTGAGAAAATTTCAGTTTAACATTTCTTGAGGTGTTCTCCAGAAAATTGGTTTTACCTGACTCTCACGGACACTGTTGCCTTCTCTCACAAGAAAATAATGTTCTCACCAAGAAACGGAAGCATCACAAAATTCCATTTATAATGATAACACTGGCCATGTTTAAAGGAAATCACATAGCTCATCAACAAAAACTATTAAGTATAAATTAAACATGAAACTTAAAAGGTCACAGGTTTAACTTCACAAAAAATTAAGAATTGTAAAATACAGACTTTTCAAAATTTTATGGAAAATGTAAATTACTTCTAAATGTCTAACCGTAATTTGAAAGATAAATTACCCAGCACCTGTATTTCAAAAGCCATTTTAATGCAACATAAGAACCAAGAGAAAGCCCTGGCTGGTGTAGCTCAGTGGATTGAGCGCGGGCTGCAAACCAAAGTGTTGCAGGTTCAATTCCCAGTCAGGGTACATGCCTGGGTTGCAGGCCATGACCCCCAGCAACTGCACATTGATATCCCCCCTCCCCCCCTCCCTTCCCTCACTAAAAATAAAATAAATAAAATCTTTAAAAAAAAAAAAAAGAACCAAGAGAAGTAACGACAGTCTCGTCACCTGCTTGGAGAGGAGCTCCCTGCAGAGCGTGTACAATGTAACGAACTTCTGGGCTAATGAGCGTGCGTCCACAAAACCTTCAGCAACCAGCATGATTTCGCAGATGAGCTCAATGTCAGGGGCCACCATGGCACAGGGTCTGTAAAGCAAATGTGAAATTTAGTTTGAAAATGTGAGAAGATATTAAGTACATTTTGCTGAAATCAAGTGCTTAATTTGTACCGACATTCTGACCATTCCCAAGCAGGTTGTCACAATGACCTCTGTCAATCACAGCTAACAAGACCCTTCTCTTCAACTAAAAACGATGTCTATTAGTCACTGGATACACAGGAAAAGATACAAAGTCTGCAGATGGCAGAAGCACAGGTGCGGTGTGTGCTGGCTCGCATGGAGTAAATACTTCCCCTGCGGCTGATTTCTCTCCCCCAACATGACATCACTGAACGTGCGGCTGGGAAGAGCTGCTCAGTAACACACCACCATGAAGACACGAGACATACATGATCTTAAGAGTAGAAACACTTATAAAGTAATTGAATAATGAAGGGAAGAGTTTTGAGGATCACCTTTGTCTGTGATACAATTCATTTAACCAAAAGTTTACATAATTTACTTTTTATTACTGGCTGTACTTAACAACACACTTCGAAAATCCTTGAAAATTTAACTACCAGCTCCTTTACACTCACAGGAGCCATGTCTGGTACGCCGCTGCCTGAGGCCCACTTAGAGACTTGTATACAATGAAAATTTAGAAAAACATAGCTTTCAAATCCCCCCTTTTTTCAGAGGGGGACTTCTAAAAGTCCTTCCCAAAGAAAACTGCTATTAACAGCAACACTTGATAAAATTCCACTCAACTGACGTGCAAAGGAGGGGTCAGGTAAATAAGAAGCCCGTTATTTTCAAGTTCTCACAGTACACACCCCACGTATTGACCCACCTGTTGTTGGGAACATGAGTACAGCCCACTTCACGCACATCTGATTTTCACCCATAAGCATTCCCCAGAGGCCCTCTGGGTCTGTGTCACTGAGTACCTACATGTCACTGAGTACATGCACATTATTGAGCACATATATGTAATTGAGTACATGCTTTTATCTAAGCAAGCCCCACAGTTTTCTCACATTTTTTAGTCTTTATCACATGACAAGAGTAGTCAAGATGAAGAGCAAAGAAGGGAGAGAGAATGCTAGCAAATTTGCTTAATTGATACTTGCATTAATATGGACAAGTAACATTTTCCAAGCACTTTCTTTATGCCATATAGGATGCTCAAAGCTCTTCATGAGCTCTCACTTAACTCCATGAGGTGGCCACTCTTCTCGTCTGCATCTCACGGAGGTGCACACGAAGGCTCTGAGAGGTACAAGCACGTGCCCAGGCCACACACAGGCTGGGTAGGTGGTGGAATAGTGATACTTTCGGGGCTCATGTGTTAAGTACTGCCCACTGCTTGTGAGCACTACTGTCCTCATCCAAGGGTCCTTCAAACTTGGCTGACACAAATACTTGCATCCCAACGTAAACAATGCTGCACTTAGTCAAATTAAATGTATGGAGACTTTACAAACAATCCAAATGTCAAGACCCAAATGCAAACATGTGTGAGATGCATTGGGTTACAAATATAAAAATAATGGAAAGATGTACAATTCTCCAATGAAAAGATTCTGTGATTATTACATTTATTTCTAGACTAGCTGTTATGTAGAATTTTTTTTCAAGAAAAACGGGCATTACAAAATTGCTATGCTAAAGAAAGCTGCTACAGAATGAAAGGAGAGCATTCAATAATGTATGCTAGAATAACTATTAGGGAAAGTAATTCTGTTCAAATACTCATTTCATGTTACTACCCAAAACAAGTCTTTAAGAGATGAAGTACATTTAAAAATAATACTATAAAAATTAGAAGAAAATACATGGGAAATATCTAGATGAATAAATAAGCAAATTTTAAGCTTAAAACAATTGAAAGAAATCACACTAAGAACCATAGAGGTTCTTACATTACATTATAATGTATTATTTTGAAGGCAGACTGTGAATAAAGATACATAGTGTGAATACTAAAGAACTAAAAAATAAAACCGACAAGCCTCTCACTCATCAAGATGAAAAAGAATGTGGAAACAGAAATGACCCATCTCCGACATGGACTTCAAGACGTCGCCACAGACAACAAGGAAATGGTATGGCCACATTAATGCCAATAAATTCAACAATCTAGATAGCATGAAGAAATTCCTTAAAAGATCCAAATTACCAAACACAAATTCAAGACAAAATAAAAAATCTGAATAATTCTATATCTATTAAAGAAATAGAATTTATCACTAAAGAGATTCCCACAAAGAAAAAGCTAGGCCCAGAGGGTTTCCCCGATCAAGTCTATCAAATAACTAAGGAGTAAGTAATACGAATCCTACAAAAACTCTTAACAAACAGAGAAGGGAGCATTTGCCAACTCACTTCATGAGGTTACCATTACTATGATGCCCACATAAGATTAGGGTATTACAAGACACTACAGGCCAGTATCCCTCATGGCATAGATTTTTAAATCTCTTAACAAAATAGTAGCCCATTGACTCCATCAATATGTATAAAAGTGGATTGAGTGCCAGCCTGTGAACCAAAGGGTTGCTGGGAAGTCAGGGTACATGCCTGGGTTGTGGGCCAGGTCCCCAGTGGGGGGCATGCAAGAGGCAACCACACATGGTTTCTCTCCCTTTCTTTCTCCCTCCCTTCCTCTCTCTCTAAAAGTAAATAAATAAAATCTTAAAAAAACATATCTCCTGACCAAGAGAAGATGATCCTAGAAATGCATTATTGAATTGTTTAGCATTTGAAAATTGTTTAGCATTTTAGCAGTATAGTTCAGCACATTAACAGAACAATGAAAACTATAAAACAGAACTTCTAGAAGAGCATGCAGTTGAAAATTTTTACAACCTAGGGCTAATTAAGTGTTCTTAATCAGGATAGAAGAAATGAAACAAACAGATAAGTTGCATTTCATCAAATGTAAAGCTTCTATCTTTGATGAACAGCATTAAGAAAATGAAAATGCAAGCTGCAAATTGAAAGATATTTGTAATATATGTATCTAATAAAGAAATTGTACCCAGAACACAGAACCACACAGAAGATGGCACAGGAAGGGCTAGTAAGTCACACAAAAAGATGTTCAACATTATTAGCCATCATGGAAATGCAAACAGAGCCCACAGTGCCAAACTGGCTAAATCCAAAACACCGACAATGTCAAGTTTTGACAAGAACGTAGAACAAGTATACAATGATACAACCCTCTTGGAAAACAGGCTGGTAAATTCTAATAAAGTCAAACATACATTTGCCATGTGACTTAGTAAAGCAATTCACAGATCTTTATCCCAAAGAAAATGTGTTCACACTAGGATCGAATGTGGAAGTTCGTAGCAGTTTTATTCACAATAGCCCCGCACTAGACACGACCCACATGTCAGTCGGCTGGTGATGGGTGAACAATCAGAGTACGTGCATACAAGAGAATACTAATCACCGACAAACAGGAACTACTGATACAGTCCAACTCGGAAGAATCCCCAATCCTACTGTTGAAGGAAAGAAGACAGCAAACAAATACATGCTGTATAGTTTCATTTAAGTAAACAAATTTAACCTGAAGTCACAGAAAGCCCACCAGTGGTATGGGGGACTGACCTCAGAGGGCATGGGAGAACTTCAGGGGTGTTGGAAATATTCCCTTTCTTGACTGTGCTGGTATTTCTGCCAATTATACACTTAAATGGGTGGACTTTGGTATGAAATTATATCTGAATGAAGTGATTTAAAATATGAGTTAAACATAACTGGTTCAAATGCAATAGCAGAGTTTCACTGACAGAGCGCTAATGAGAGTATATATTGGTAGATGGCTGTTGGAAAAGAGGTCATTGATAGGTATCTCAATCATTCACTAAGTCATTCTGCACATAGGAATCTATTGTGGGTAATAATCTGAAATAAGGAGAACTCTATGTGAAAAGATGGTTATAGCCTGCTATTTGGGGGTCATAAAAAAACTGAAAGAAAAACACAAATCCTCCATGCCAATTGGGAACAGTTAAGAAAATTATGAACAAGCCACAGAGAGACTATTTTGGAGCTACATAAAATGGCATTTCCAAAGACTATCCAATACTATGAAAAATTACTTGTGGCAAAACATTAAATGAGAACTAAATAAAAATTATGCCTAACCTCCTATTGTAACTCCATAAAATATACATTATAAAAGAGGCTAGTAAAAAAGTATATCAATCATTATTTCTGGGAAGTAAAGCTGTAGCCATAGTGTTCTATTTATTCTTTTCTGTATTTTCCAAATATTTTATAATTGGTGGAAAGCATAATAAAAATATCATTACAAAAGGGCTAGTACTAAATGTTGAAAAACACCACATGACCTTTAAGTAATGAGTTGGAGTCCAGTTTCCTATTACAAAAGAATGAATTTATCCTGCGGAAAGTTCTCTCCATAAAGTGATCCCTGAGAGGGGACAAGGGGCTTATTGCAGGAATTCTCAATCACAAACAGATCACTGAACAGTGCCGACCGGCGACGTTAGGGGGCGTGCGAGCTCCAGATGCTCACCCGCCGAGCGAGACACTTGCCTGAAAAGAGCTTTGAGATTTTCCGGTAATTCGGTCCGACCAGCATACCCTGGGTTCATGGTTATAAATATTCCAACGGACGGCTTCAGTGTGATAGCTTCCCCGAGAAACACAAATCTACCATAAGAAGAATACTGATGGAATTAAACGTGTTCACTGAATATGAATGCATGCTGACAAATTCAAACCACTGACAAATGCAAATGTTATTAGGAGGCTGTTTATTCTGTGCAATTTTCTTTAACGTTCATAAGCATACATATTTTGAGTATGCTTTGAAGCATGTTTATTAACAATTCACTCCATTTCCCCAGAGGAATTACACATGTGGGAAGTATCCTTTTATATTGTAGCAAAGCCATAGGATGCTAGAATGTAAAAATGAGGACTTGACCCCTTTAACAATTCTTAAAAGGTTTGCACTCCAAATGTGGGCTGCAATTGTTTGAATGACGTACTGCAGAGGTAGAGGATACTGTGCTAAGAGAAGAAGGGACTTCATGTTTAGCCTTTATTTTGTCTATTTTCCCGTCCTCCTTCCCCCAATCTTCCTTCCCTCCTTCCCTTTCTCCTCCCTCCCTCCCATTCAACAAATATCCATTGACAACCGAGGGGCAGAAGAATGCAGTGGCTGTGACGGCCAGCTCTGGGACCAGACGGGGAGCATTCAGGGACCTGCTGCACCACTTTAGGCATGTTCCATTTCCCTCATCTAATTAAAAAGGGATAATAATATCACCCACTTTATTGGATTATATGAGGATTAAAAGAGATTATGTATATAAACGACTAAAAGCCTAGAACAAGGTAGATACTCAACAGATTTTCACTCTGACTGCGGCTATTATCATCACTTGAAGGCAGAGGAGAAGCAGTGAAAAATTTTCAGCAAGATTTGCAAGGGCCAAATTAGGATTTTGATGGCCAGGGCAATGTAATGGTAGCGGGCTGTAGAAGGAAACCTTCACATGAGCTCCATGAGACAAAGTGTAAGGCTTTTTCTTGTTGAAAACAGGAAGGGAAGGAGGATGGAGGAGCTGGGCCTCCACCACAGACTGACGAGGGAGAAGAGCCGCAGTGTTTAGGACTAGGAGCTTCTTAGGTTCTGAACAGTTAAGGTGGATTTTGGAGAGTCAAGGTAAGGATGGAGAAATCTGTGTTCCTAGAACATCAGGGAGACAGGCCTGGGAGGGCTCTTGGAGCAGGCAAGTGACTGCTGTCCCATTAGTCGGAGAGGAATGACCGCAGGTCCAAGGGAAGGACCTCGCGAGGGTACAGCCAGGAAGATGCTGGAAGGCCGTGGAAGGCTTTGTGGTTAAGGCACAGTCCTGACTCTTAAATCCTCAAGTGTAAACAGAGTTTAATAAAATGCATGAAATCGTAAAGCAGCCAGCCATCTCCACATGGACTAGCCCAGGGTGAAGAAGAACAGGTACGACTCACAGACACACAGACATGGGGACACAGGAGACTGTCGAGAGCTGTGGCGGGGAGGTTCTAGAAGTCCTGGATCGGCCCTATGACTCTACATAAGAAAAGCTGGCTTCAGATGGCGTCTGGGTTATGTTAAATAATAAGATTTTGACTAAAAGAGCACCTGGGGGTGAAAGAGGACAGAAGCTAACTTCTCTAACGTGGCATTAGAGCAGGGCAGGTGAGGTGACTGCTTCCTGGTATCCCAGAGCCACGTGGTGGAGAGGCGGGGAGGTTTTCTCGAAGGTGGAAATACGCAACTGTAAGTTATGATGACAACTGGAAACTCCTCCAATAGCTTCACAGTTTCCAGCAGCTAGATAATCTTTCCGTGATGGGGACATTGAAATGTTCCTGGCTGAGCAAAACACCCTAATAATGAAAGCTAAACGGGTAGGCCAGATAAATGAGCTATATGTTACTAACTGTATACCAAAAATGGCACAACGAAAACCACAACTGTGCACTATAATACTTACTTCTCAAATTAAGCCATCAAACCCTACGGTCTTGTATCTTTTAGAGCGTGTCATCATGTTGGGAAGTGGTTAGGTCCTGGATGTATGTGGAATGTCTTTGGCCCAAGTAACTGGAAGAAAGTGGGGCTATGAGCTACTGGGATAGGACATCTAACAAAGCAGGTGTTGGTGCAAAGACCAGAATTTTGACTTTGAGGTGAGAGGACTGTGAGACTTCAAGTGGCATCTCGAGGGGCCCAACAGGCATCACCTGTGAAGTTCAGGTATCGGGGAAGGGGGTCCGGGCAGCTGGCAGCCAGCAGCACGCAGATGGTACTGAAGGCCACGTGACTGGGTGAAATCGCCAGGGGAAGAAGTAGCGATATACTACACTTTTCCCCATTTCACAACGAGAAGTAACAGCCCTGAGGGTGGGAGGACACTGGGAAGGTGTGGTGTCCTAGAACCCAAGTGAAGAAAGTGTGTCCGCACAAGGGAGGGACCTACCATGTCAGATGCAGCCAGAAGGTCAAGATAGATCAGGACTGAGAACTGATCACTGAGTTAGCATTGTAGAGAGTGTTTATATTTTAAGTGATTAAAATAACATAATACGCTTCTGTTGTATTCAACACTTAAAAACCAGTCATTAAAATATGGGAGGTTATTCCGAATAATTATTCAAAATTAGCCAGTCTCTCTTACTTTATCCATTTCACGAGACAGGGAGAAGCAGGATAGGCTGTGAAGGTGAAGTTCACGGCGTTCTTCCACATGACTCTTTCTATTTGTCACCACAGGGGGAAAAAAGAGCCACATGCCACTCACCTCTTCTTCCTGTTTCTGATGGCATCATGTATCATTTTCACCTGCACTGCCACCACGGACAGAACTTCCACAGAAATCCGATTGAACTCATCAAAGCAGCCCCAGGCTCCGGTCTGCACCAACCCCTTGTAGATGTTTCCTATGGACTAGATGATGGAGTGAGGCATGAAGAATTCAACAGAAGGGGGATGAAGCTGTTATTTTGAGTCACTTCAAATCAGGGACAATCTTGTTAGACTACATCATCCTATAACTAACTTACCTTGTAGTCCATTTGCTCTGAACAGTTGAACACATAAACCATCATGCCAAGGGCACGTCCAAGATCTTTGGTGGTTTCGGTTTTCCCGGTACCAGCGGGGCCGGCTGGAGCCCCACTCATGGTCAGGTGCAGTGACTGAGTCAGAGTAATGTAACACCTTTAAGCAACAGAAAACACATAGAACAATCCAATATGAGATTTCTAGACAACATAAGGGCAACCCAACTTGTTTTAAAGTTTAAGAAGTTGACATCTAGAATGTGGTAGTAGCACAAATATTAATATACCTTTGATTTGCTTGTGGCAATAAGGAGAGTCAATAACATTTCATATTTAAGTTATTTTTGGGTTGGTTGTTTAACAATAGAGAAAAATGAATTGCTCTGTTTATCTCATTTCCTAAGAGCTGTGTATTTAAATACAACTAACACTTGATTTGCAGTGTTATAGAATTTCTGGTATTTCTAGGTAAAGATACTATTAATATGGCAGACAACATCTCAAACTATTGTTTATAAAACAAATATAGAAATCTTGGATGATGAATGAATTAAACATTTACTTCATTAAACTGCCACCTAATAACTACACTGAGATATGTAAATATATACACAGTCTGCAAAAATATATACCTATTTCAAAGTACAAGGCAAATGCACAAAGCCACAATTTATTATATTAAAATGTATTTTAGAATTCATTTTGCATGTGTTGCTACTTGCATTTAGATTATAATACTCTTTTTTTTTTTTGCAGGAAAGACTCGGTGGTTCTTAGACTGAGAAAAATTATGCAAAGACAGACTATAATATTTGTAAAAGAAGGAAAACGCAATAAATAGCAAGTGCCTTCATGGGGTTCCTGCTGATCTAGGAGTCATTTTTGTCTCGGTACAGACAGCAGGTCCAGAGGAGACACACGCAGGCAGGTCAGAAGACCAGGGACTAGTGTCTACTTTGCCAATAAGCAGATAATCCTCTCTCTCTCTCTCTCTCTCTCTCTCTCTCTGACATCAACATGCTTCAGCTTTCTCCTCCATAAAATGAGGTTTATTGTAGGAAGATTTAAGGGAAGCTGAAGGTAAATACCTTGAAAGATTCAAAGTACTAAGCAAACAGGAACAATTGTGCATGAAAATGAAAAGCGTTTCTGTACTTTACGGCCATCACAGGTTTAAGTGCACCTTTCAGTGAATATGGAGTGGAAAGGCCCCTGGACTAAGAATTTAGCACTTTCTGTAGTAGAGACTATCCTCTAGTATCTTTCCTCAGGTTCCGAGTTTTGACTGGACATACGGCCACCTACAAGCTCCAGACGACAGCCGGCAGTGACCGAGCCCCACCCACGTGCTGTGTGTTGAAACGAGGTGTGCAAATCTCTAGGCTGCGTCCTTCGCTGGGACCGCCCCCCTCTGGGCTGTTACACAAGTCAGACGTTAGCTGCTGCGTTACCGAGGCCATTATATCTTGGGGCTCTCTGTAATAGCAGTCTAGCCTGCACCTTCCTCGCCAGTTCCCCCATGTTCCAACTCAAGTGTCTCAGGGACGAGCTGGTGGACGACCCAAGTCTCAGCACTTGCCCACATATGTGAGAAGGAGGCAGTCTACCTGCCCTGCCTACCACACAAAGGAACTGTCAGCATCAAATAAGACATAACGGAAGTGCTTGAAACGCATCACTGTGTTAGTGTAAACAATTTGTAAATGATCCACAGAATGAAATGCAAAAGAAATGTATACACTGCACAGCATGAACACCATGTAGCACTACTTTTAAAAAGATTTTATTTATTTATTTTTAGAGAAAGGCGCAGGGAGGAGAGAGAGTGGGGGAGAAACATCAATGTGAGAGAGAAACATCAGTTGGTTGCCTCTCATATGTGCACCAACTGGGGACTGAATCTGCAACCCAGGCATGTGCCCTGACCCAGAATTGAACTGATAACCTTTCCCTCTTCAGGTTGAGGCCCAACCAAGTGAGCCACACCGGTCAGGGAATACGTAGCATTAGTAATACCATCAAAAGGAACATTCATCTTTCATCGGCCAAATACACCATGCAGTGATTTTTTAATTCAAAAATGTAATAAACTATTAGTCCTGACATATCGGTAAACTTTAAAATGTCTCTTGCACGTTTCTCCTATGACGACATCACACACACACAGGAGACACTCAGCAGCCGCGGTTTTGACTTTTCTCAAGTGCTTTTTGTCAAGCTACGCATATTCCCCTCTCACCCGGAAAGCAATATATGAATTAATTATGTGATTAAGATACCAAATACTGACTTCTGGTGAAAGACAAGTTAAAGAGAGCTGAATCAGAGAAACAGGATTACAGAAGCGGCACAATCCACCAATGATGAAACCACGAGCAGAATGATTTGTCAAGAGCACCCGCAAGGCTAGGGAGAGACTCCCAGGGCCACCGTCACAGCCCAGCGTCAGTGCCTTCTCTCTGAAACTGTGTCCATTTTCCTTCCCCAGGTGAGTGGTATGGTACGGGGAAGCTGAATCATCAGGAACACTCCTGTGATCTTGAGGTGAGATTTCTCTCTCCTGAAAATCGAGGGTTAAAATGTGCCTTCTCCCACCAAGTACTTCGGCAGAGGTTAGAACACTAACGAAGAACTTCAAGTTGGTATGACACGTCCGTATCTCTACAACGTTCTAACCATGTGTGTACACGTACTTGGAGTCACATGGAAACCCCACCTCCCCCTGACACACTGGCCCCCTGTCTTATTCCTTGAACTGGCCAAGCTCCTTCCCACCTCCGGAACTTTGTTCTTGCCTTTGCCTGTGACTTCCTGCCCCGGGATATCTGCAGAGCTGGCTTCTTGTCACCATTTAGGTGTCGGCTCAAACGTCCTCTCACTCAATCTGCAGTAATAGACTCTCCCTTCAAGACAGGGCTAACATATCAACTGGCTTAGTTTTGTCACAGCATATATTACCACCAAAACTAACTCTTCATTGTTTATTGTTCCTCTTCTTTCCACACGCCACACTCAACTAGAAAGTAGCCTCCGGGAGAACAGACACCCTGGCTGTGTAGCACTGGAGGGGGCCCAGCACAGCACTTCATAGGGATCTGTTAAACCATCTCACAGGGCTGTGTTCTCTCTCTTTTCATCCTTGCACATCCACTGTGTGCAATCCTTCAAAAACGAACCTGAACATAGGCAATCGCTATGTTTACACTTCCGATACAGGGACGCAGTGGGGGCAGGTGGTTACAAATCCTGCCAGCAGGATGCCAGCCAGAGACAACCAGCGAGGATGGACCGAGTGCTCAGAGCTACTGCCTTGAACCATATGAACCTGCTCATGAGTTCGTGACTTGTATACATTATACAGCGTCTGCCATTCTGCTTCTCTAATTTGTCTCTCTTCAATGTGTTTCCAACTGAAGTCAACGTTCACCGTGTTACTGACTAGCCCACGTGCCCACGGCTTCTACGGGGTTTCCCAACCTGCTCATCACTTCCTCTCCCTGCTGTCTTCTCAGCCACACGTGTCTTCACCCATGCTGAGGGAGCCCAGTTTTCCCGTGTAACTCAAACTCACTGTTACCTGTCGGTTAGAGGAGTGATCACAAGTCGAGGACTGTTTCCTAAATATTCATAGAAGTACTGGAACTGGGCATCACAAATGTTAACGAAGCAGTGCTTCCGGGTGTCCTCCCACCGGTGACGGAGTTGAGACAGCCAAGCAAACGCCTGGGGACTGACGACCTACGAAGAGCACAGGACCATCACATGCAAGGCACAGAGCTCGGAGGCACCAAGCTTAATTGGTGAATCGAATCAACTCTTTTGAGTCCCATTTAATTCTAAAAATCTCACAAAAGGGAAATCTCTTGCATGCTACTGCAAATTGTAATTGCAGATAGATGGCTGAATCCTTAATAAGAAATACATGTGTAATTAAAGTCTTCATTCTGAGAAGGCTTTTACAGTAAAACAATATCAATTTGTTCAAGCAATGCTTTCTCCCTTCTCAAGAATCGCCCCAGGGCATTTGATCACTTTTGTGACTTTATACTCGTATCGTTAAAATCAGACTAAAAACACACTCTGTTAAAATGACACATAATTCATAATTTCTAAATGTCAGAGGTAAACTGTGCTTGCAACAGTCCCTTCTCAGCCCAGTCTGCTCTTAGTACGGAGGTTCCCCACTTCACTGTTTGCTAAATCCAGTAACAGTGTCTTTTTTCATGACCATTATTTACTATTGCATCAATGTCATCCATTCTTCCAGTTTGAAAATATAACTCCAGTCTCTCCAAATACCATGACCCTAGAATTTGGGGGAAATCATTGATGTTACTGAAACTATTATCTACTAATTTGTCTGATGTCTACATAAGTCTCAGCATTGCCTTTGTATGTGTAGTAGATGATCGTCACCTAGACAAAGTCTGTATCTCTTTTAATACAAAATAAAGGACATATTTTAAATAAAAATTTGTCCTACCACAAGCAAATCACCATTGATAAAACATAATGGAATATGTAAGAAGGTGCATGGTCATATTCAAAGTGTAGTTATCAATGATTCATTACCAAAATGAGAATACACAGTGAGTGGTATCTTGCAAGGATCGGTTTTGGATTAGCAATTAAAGAATGTTAATGGTCTTGAACCTGGATCAAGAAGTATTTTTTAAGTTTATGGCTTCCACAAAGAAGCATTTGCTTGCACTTTGTGAAGAGAATTAAACTTCACTTTGATTTTAATAACTTGAGAAAGAACTAGAAAAACAACAAAAAATTTCACAATATATACATGCATTCAAATTATGAAAGGGATCAACTGATTTTAGTACCAGCGCCCCCCACCTCCCCAAAGGGAGGTCTGGAGGAAGCCAGTGATGGGCATGACACAGCAATGCTGTTTGGTAGACAAGTATGCCTGACATTTATAAGCAGGGGCATGTTTCGGAGAAGGGGTGAGAAAGTCCTCTCACATTAAAAACTGCCAATATCTAAGAGACACGGGACTTTTGAGAGGGATGCATACAGCGGTTACCAGTGCACGGAAAGGATTAGAAAACAACTTCTTTAAAGAAGGTCGCTTAGCCTTGAAAGGAAAAGACAAGGAGTGCTCAACATTTCTCTCTCTTCAACAGGAAAAGAACCAAAGGCACAGGGAAATGGTTTAAATGACACAAACCGTGTCGCCATGGGCTGGGTGAGCCACAGAGGTGAGAAATGAACACGGAGACTCCTCAGGCTTCTCCCACCCTCGGTTCGTTTCTTGGATGCTCTGGATCAGGGGCTCCCGACCTGACAAAAGCCCTGGGGAATGATCATCACTAGGGATGACTTCCCCGAGGACGATATGCTAGCTAACTCAAACCAAACTCACCCAAAGTGAGTATAACGAACTTCTCAGGGCTAATTAAAATACACAAACTATTAAAAAAAAAGTGACTTTCTTAGAAGTACTCTTGACAATAAACACTACTATTAGGAAACACCAAAAACTACATGAAATCTCCATGAAAAACTTGCCTTCTGAGAGATCAGCTTTGCCACCACATCCCGGGCGTGGACATCTATGGTGCAGACCGTCATGATCTTCTGCCTGTCTCCAGGTGGAAGTTCTCCCAGCAAAAGTGCAATCAGCGCATTCAGCTGGGAAATCTAGGAAGAGTTTTTTGAAAAGGAGGTAAGGGTGACAAATACAGAATCGAACAGCCCAACGGTCTTCATATTTGTAACGTGTCCATTAGTTCACAAAAGAATTTCAGTGTTATCTCAGCTGGCCCCAAACAGCCCGGGGAGGTTTGGAGATGAAGAGAAGAATTTATGAGATTAATTAATTTAAATAATAGAAATATCATTACCTCCTCTGAGCCGAGACTCAGAGAAGACCCGTGAACCTGTCGGTAATGACAAAGTCAGAGGTGGAAGCAAGGTCTCCCGGAGGCACTGAACTGACTCTGCACCCCGGTGACGATGCGGCCCACCACCTGGCTGGGGGAGAGATGACTACAAATCTTAAAAGGTCAGTTTGAGCTAATGTCTATAAAAGTATAGGAAGAGTTAAATATCGTATGTTTTATTGTTTGTTTTTGGCTTTGGGAAGTTTTCTGGCATAGGAGATAGTGACGATTACTGAGAAAATATTTGAGTGTAGAGCTGAAGACCACCCTGCTTAATTCTTCTTGACATCCCTGTTCTTGTTTAGGTCTGTGGGTTTCTTAGATCAGGATTTGTCAAACGACAGGTCGCTCCACAGAATGGACAGGAACAAGATGGAATGGAATGACACGGGAGACAAAGTGTGGCATTACCGTAGGAAGAGTGACATTGTTTTGTGACACTTTGTCTCAGTTTCAGGCTTTTGAGTGCATACACACACACACACACACACACACGTGTGACCTTGGTCTGATATGAAACATTTCTCACTGATTGTGGTCAGCAGGGTCTGAAAGATACTCTCTTAGGTGGTTATTTTTGTTAGCAAGCTCATTTATACAAAACATTCCTGCCTAACTCAAGGCTTATTAGCAAAAAAGAAAAAAAGAAATCTTTTAACCCGGAGTAGCATATTGTAAAACAATCCTATTCCCTTTCTTTCTCGCTCTGCAGAGCACAGTGAATTACTAACCGGTAGCTCCTGAGAGCGCTGGTAACAGGCAACCATGGCATCTCGCCAGAGGCTCTCAAACCTGTGCAGCCCACTGTCAAAACACCTTCCCCGCAGCGCTATCACCATGCCCCAGGAAACACCCAGCGCTGCAGACTTCCCTGGGATGGCGGTGCAGTGGAACTGGGGAGGGTTATGTAACAACAGAGAGAGAGCAGGCAGGGAGACAAAACCCGTAACACGCTCCACGGGCCTTAAGTGAGGGTGTACAAGGAGCCAGGCACTGACTAAGCACATTGCCTGCATCGCCTCACTTAAATCTTCACAACCACCGATTTTCACCCGGATTTCGGTGAGGGAACTGAGTCACAGACATCGTCACCACATTTACCGAGATGGGAGGGGAACTCAGACCCAGACAGCCTGACTTCAGAGCCCGTGCCCTCGCTGGTCCCACCACACAGAGTCGCTGCACCAGCCTCCACGCGCTGACCCGCCGGGCCCTCCGAGCTGGAGAAGCAGGCTGGACAGGAGCACCCCAGGGAGGCACGATGGCAAACACAGGGGAAAGTCGGTTAAAGGAATCAAAATAGGCACTCCAGACATTCAGAATGTACGGCCGCCTTACAAGCAGCAACCGACTTTGACTATCTTACATCTATACAATGTGACAGAGACAAAGGCAATCATTTTTCCACGGGTGCCGCGTTTGATGTTCAGCACCCACTAGGTTTCGGGGTCCACAAAGAAAAGGTCTGTGTCTGGCTCGTTCACTGCTCTGTCCCCAGAGCCGCTGAGGAGCGAGCGTCACACAGGAGGAGCTCAACGAGTGTTTCCCGAAATAGATAAGTTAATGCACCAGGTGCGGGTGAGTTTTTCAAGACAATTTATCCACGCTGATTAAAAAGAGGTGTTCGGCTTTGGATATCTTCTCATCTGGGTCAAGATAGCCAGTCTCAGAATCTCAAATCTTACAACAGTATCAGTATCTTAAAAAGAGCTGGCTGTAGCCCTAGCCAGTGTGGCTCAGTTGGTTGGAGCATCATCCCAAGGACTTGTTCAACTCCCAGTCAGGGCACATACCCGAGTTGGGGGTTCAATCCCCCATCAGGGTGTGTACAAGAAGGCAACCGATCGATGTTTCTCTCTCACATTGATGTTTCTCTCTCTCTCTGTCTCTCTCTCAAACCAATGAAAAAAATGTCCTCGGGTAAGGATAAAAAAAAGCATTGGTTGTAATAAGAGTAATATCTTATAATGTAAGAACATTTATAAGTTAAAGTGCTTTCACATGCATTGTCTTGCCAGACCCTCTTTGCAACCTGTTATTTCTCCATGGCTGCGTCACTTTTTCACCAAAGTTCAGTCAAGTGAAAGAAGATTAAAAGTACAGCTCACCAACATTATCTGCACAGCATCATGTGTTAGGAATCCTTTGTTGTCTCTCCAGATTAAACCCATTCCAATGATAGTCTTATAAGTAACAAAACTCTGCATCCAGAAAAAGGAAATAGTTATCAAACGTCTCTGTCATCTGCTCTGTGGTCACACTATCATCGCATGCAACTTTATGGCCTATGACACATAAAACATCCTTGGCAGCTTTTAAGACATATACCTATCATGCAATCAGTGCTTATTCTTGTCCTTAATCAAAGCAGAGTCACAGGGTTTTCTGCCATATCAAAGATGTTTGCCTCAAGTCAAATACCTAGCAAGCCTTCCAAAACTCAAGTGGCTTTTACCTGCTACCCCTTGGCCTTGAGCTCATTCATGAGCACAAAGCCTTCCATGACCTCCCACCACCACGTCCTACCTCACATCAATCCAGCGGTCCCAGCCTTCTCTCTCTGTTTCTCCGTCATGGCTGCTCCCAGGCCACAGAAACTGTTTCAATTCGCCGGGAGGCCTTTCCACTCTGATGGCTGTTCAGCTGGCTTCCTCTCACCATTCAAGTCTTAGCTCAAATTTGCCTCCTTCAATGGGTCCTGCCTGGCCATCCCGTTTACTATTACCCCCTACCCAATTATTCCATATGTTTCTACTTCAGTTTCTTCATGGCACTTCCTGTTGTCCTATCGTTCACTTATTTATTTCCATGTTTACTGTTTGTCTCCTCCACTTGACTATAAGCTCAAAGGGCCAAGCTCTTGGCCGCCCTATTCAGCACTACATTCCCATACCTAGGGTAGCAGCCAGCATAAAGCCTGCACTTCATAAACACACATTATATGGGCGAAGAGAGAAATGAATAAATGTGACAGCAATGGCACATACCAGAACAACATCTTGTTCTTTCATTCAATCACTCTGGCTAGTGTTTCCAGAGCTTATAGGCCAATGAGTAGTTCAGACAAATAATTGCAATTGCTTCACCAGGGCAAGAACAGCGTACTATGATAACACAGAAACAGGGCCTTGCCTAACCCAGGGCTCAGAAAGGCATTTTGGGGAAAGGGTATTTGTTGCTAAGACCGAAAGACTGAGTACAATTTAGGTTGCAGAGAAGTTAGGGTAGGCCACCCAGAAAGGCCGTGTTTAAGCCACAGGAAGCAGCCTGTATACAGGCCCAGGATACAGCAGGTGAGCTCGCCTAGGAACTGGAAGAAGTCTAGAATGGTGACGGAGAAAGGGAAAGTGGGGCAGGTACATAAGATGCTGGAGGGGAAGCCAGGCCCAAACATGCAGGACTTGGCCAGCTTAGTGCAGAGTCTGGTGAGATGTCGCTGAAGAGTTCGGGGAGGTGGATTAATAATTAGGTATGTGTTTTCAGATGATGAACTGGAGGGAAACTAGACTGAAAAAAAGAGACCAGGCAGGAGGATGCTGCAGTCACCCAGGTGACAAAAGAGTGGCTGGGACTGGGATATTAACAAAGTGGTGGGGGAAAAGTGAGAATGGAGATATTTGGGGCAAACATAGAGATGTGGTCGTTGATTGGACATTGCCTGAAAGAATCAAATGGCCTTGTAGTGTGAGAAATTTGTGAACAGTGTCATGCACTTTCTGAGTTTGCAAACATCGGACAACACAGGAAGAACATTTTCCTTGTAACAGCAGAATCACTGCAAGTTCACCAGCATCAGGCCTGGCAGATCTCCCAATCCAGGGCCACTCAGGCTGCTGTGGCACCCAGCTGGAAGGGGCCCCTCTGCAGAAACGTTAAAATCTCACTCAGCAAACCAAAGTGCACATTACAACATAACTGCTCCAGTACTGTGGGGTCAGCTACCAAAACCATCAATCCCTTTCCCACTGGACATAACACAAAAATATCGTTGTTCTTGTTTTAAAGCAATAGAAATGAGGACCTCTAATCCCTGCAATGTTTTGATTTCAGCACTATTAGAAACAATGGATTTTTATTTCTATCTGCTAGAATGGAGGAAGCTGCAAGCGAGTCCAGTCCAGACTCCATACTCATCCCTACTACCAGGGCATGAGTTTCCTACTACAGAATCCCAGTTTGTTTCCTTCCTTCTGCATGTTAATTTCCTACTTCTCCTTAATCACATTGCTGAAACCACCAGCACAATGCTGGGTGGTGAACGTCAGAGACAGCACATATAATTACCCTGACACTAGTGGAAATAACTCGAATGCTTCAACACAAAGCATAATTTTTTTCTGCAGATTTCTGAAAGATTATCTTCAAGTTACAAAGTTTCTTTCAAATGCTTATATTAGAAAAGAAAAAGGTGTAAAATCAACAATCTAAACTCAAGAAATTTGAAAAGGAGGAGCACACTAAACTGTAAGTACAAAGGAGATAATCAAGATAAAGCAGAAATCAGGGAAATATAAAACAAACAATGGAAGAAGTCAAAGATTAGTCCTTAGAAATTATAAGTAAAATTGATAAACACCCAGAAAGTCGGATTAAGAAAAAAAAGAGAGAGAGAGAAAACTCGAATCAACACCAGCAGGAATAAAAGGAGGACATGACTCCAGGTCCTGCAGATGTGCTGAGGACAATGTCAAGACACCCACATCAACCCAGTTTGGAAACTTAGGTCAGGGTGGGCAGACTGGTTCTGTGAAGAGTGGA